AGTACTTCGACGCATAAGCCCGCCCAGCTCCGTTACTGGGCTGAGCTCACTACCGGCGGCATTGCTGGCTTCGTCTCTCAGACTGTCTCATACCCGCTTGAAGTGATCCGGCGGCGCATGCAAGTCGGCGGCGTCGTTGGTGACGGCCATAGATTGAGCATGCCCGAAGTGACACGAAGAATCTATCTTGAAAGAGGATACAAGGGCTTTTTTGTTGGCCTGACAATTGGTTATGTCAAGGTTGTGCCCATGGTGGCAGTCAGCTTTTATGCTTATGAACGTGGTAAATATTATTTAGGAATATGAATCATGAAAATTTGCCAATGTCAATTGATGAGAATGATGCTGTGCATGATGTTTTTATCGGATGGATACTCACTTGTTTACTTACTTGAAGACTTATTAGGCAGGAGAATATGTCGTGCTAGCCAATATGGTATTCCATCCTTGTTCACGTTACTACTTTAAATAACAGTGACATCTCTTTGCTATTCGCCAGCTTCATAGCTATAGCAAGGTCCACATTTTAGCAACGTGTGCAGTGCCGTCGTGGATCTAGACTACACCTTTTGTAACAAGGGCTATACTAGTACTATGAAGTTCACATAATAAATTATCATAAGATGGTCCTAAAAATTAACTCATGTCTATTGCATTTAATCCCTTTTTTAATATATATCGTTTGAAGTTAGCGTAGATAACTCTTCTGCTTTAAAAGGCGAAATTAATTTGGAAAAAAAAAAGGGGATTTCAGCAAGAGAATTAGTAGAATCATTGAGCAGCTAACTACACTTTAAATATCGTTAATATAGAAGATATGAACTAACTACCCAAGAACCACCCCTCACGCGCCATTATATTATCATAATCTTTTATTTCAAGAAATATTTTTTTCTCTTTCCATAATGAGGTAGTTGGATAAGAAATTATTCCATCTAAAAAAAAAGCGTGAATAGAAAGAATAGTTAGTTATATATTTATTTCAAAATCCAAGTACCTACATACGCAGAGCTATGTCTTTAGTAGAAAATCTTTCGCTACTAAAAGAAGTGTTAATTGTTTGATAATTAGAATATCCTACTTTATCTAACTATGCTAAGTATGTATAGAAGAAGAGAGAGAGAGAAATGAGAAGGAAGGAAGGAAGGAAAAAAACACGTTTGTTGTCGTGCATGGATGGCTTTGGTAAAGTGTCCTTGCATTTATCCAGAGTTCACATATACATTGTTGCAATCAAGAAGACGCAAGCTATAATAAGATGATCCAATCATTTGTTCATTCATTTCATCTCTATTTCATCGTGTCTACCAACTCACGATACATTCGCTTCAACTCGCGTACATCGCCCTCGAGCTCCTCTACCCTCTCCGTTTTCTCACCCAGCATCTCCAAGGCGGTGCCTTCCCTATTCTCCATCTCAGACAGTCGTTTTTCCAAGTCGGTCACTTTTTCCCCTTGTTTCTTGGCCTCGTCTACCTCACGCATGAGCTTGACGACTTCGTTGCGCGCCTCGTCGCGCTGGGCAGTCAGACGCACGACTTCTTCCTTGTGCGTTGCCTTTTCGGATTCCAGACGGCGCACGGCGGCGCTCATGCGCTCGACAAGTTGGACAGAGGGGCCGGCGCCCATGGTGGACACGCTGACCATGTCGGCAATGGTGCGATGTGGCGAAGATGCAGTGTCAAAGGTGTCCATGTTTTCTGGGTCGAGTGTGTGAATTGAAGGGGTTTCGAGCGGTGGTGCAGTTAGACCATTAAGACTGGCCATACTATAGGGTATCGAGTCTTGTCTTTGGGGAGTTCCGATTTCAGGCGTGCGAACTCTTGACGTGGACTTGGCCTGCCGTGAGCTGGATGGACGGCGCGAGACATCATCGAACATGCGTTCTATGGGTGAAAGGGCGGTGTCCATGCCGCTTGAAGTGGCCCGCGGATTGGGTCTTCGGGTGTAGATGCCTAACGGGTCTGGCGAGTGTCTTCGTTGCGCCACCGAAGGCGAGTCCGTTCGCGGGAAGAGACTGTCACCAGCTAAAGATGGTGTTTGTGATTCTATCTTCCATTTGCTCTTTTCTTCTTCAATTCGTTGTTGCAACTCGGCCTCCCAAATCTTCTTCTCTTTATCCAAATCGGCGCGCGCATCTTGGGCAGCAGTTTCTGCTTGGGCAAGTTTGACTTGTAGCTTTTGAGCCGCGGTACGTTGCTCGTTCAAGTCATGCTCAAGAGTACGAGCGCGCTCGTTGAGACTTTCAAGCTCGTCTTCCAGTCGACGTGCTTTTGAGTTGGCTTCTCTCGCTTTGCGTCTGACCTCGGACTCGCGCTTCGCCGTCTCATCACGGTCTTTTTCGAGCGCGGCAACACGAGAGGTCAGGCTTGTCTCAATACCTTGCCAGTTTTCAGAAGCAAGCGAGTACTGTGTTTGCAAGGTTTCGATCTGTCGGAGAAGCTTGGCCTGAGAGTCACCAGTGGCGGATGAAGTAACCTCTTCGGTCCTGCTGCGAAGAAGTTCCAGTTTGGACTCAAGATTCTGGATGGTGCGTTAGTATGCATCTGCATGCAGCCTTCGACTTGACTTACCGCAATCTCACCACGCAGCTCCAGCTCAGTGATCTGTGCCTTTTCCTGTTGGCTTTTGGCTTCATCCCTGGCAGCTTGAAGTTCTTTCTTGGCACGATCTTCTGCCAGCTTCTTCTCTATCCGCAGATTTTCGATATCCTCCTGCAAAGATCTCGTCGCCCTCTTTTCTGCTTCTAGTGCGCCGGATTGCACTCTCTTCTCGGCATCCTCTGCGCGCGACAGGGCGTCATTGAGTTGCTTGCGCAGTTCAGATATTGTCATTCCCGCTTCTTCGCGTTCTGCTCTGATGGTCTCAATGTCCTTTTCAATCTTGCCAACAATCTTCAGCTTTTCCTGTGAAGCCTTTTCAGCGGCTTCGGCGCGACGTGCTCTTTCCGACTGCTCAGTGATGCTCTTCTCAGCCTTTGTCAATCGCTGCTTCAGCATGGTAATCTCCTTTTCCTGCTCCTGAGACTTGGCGCGCATTTTCTTGATGGTAGTCATGTGCTTCATCTCCGTCTTGGACAGCTTCTGGCCCTCTTCCATGAGGGCAGCAATCTGCGCATCTTTCTCTGCCAACTTCTTGTCCGTGGGCGTCGCGTCTTTGTCCGACGAGGCGGACTTTGCAGATGCAGCAAGCTGCTCTGAAAGATAGGTCAGTTTTGACTGCAGTGCATCGATGCGTTCGAGATGTGCATTGATTTCTTCGCGGTTGTCACGCATAGTCTCGTCGTAAGTACTTTGCAAGAGAGACAACTCTGCTTGGATTTGGTCGGCATCCCTGGGCTCGGTAGGCGGGGCTGGGGGGGTTGTGTCGATTGAAGGCCGTGAAGAGATGCTGTCCAAGGACTGGCGGGGCGAGGACGTCTGCGGGGTAACGATGGCGGGTATGGATGGCATGGACATGGTGGGGACGGGCGTTGAGGCTGGCTGGTCTACTATCACGGACGCAACTGGCGGCGGCGACGACGACGTGTCTGGGCCAGACTTAATGGGCGCAGTTGCTTCTCCAACGGGCTGTGGTGGTTCGGGGACCGTTGTATCGTCCGTCTTGGAGGTGCCATGCTGCTCTGGCAGTGAAGTAGGGGCGATGGGCTCTGAAGCCTTTGAATCTATGCTTGTGCGTGATGTGTCGACAGGTGGGAATGAAGTGCGCAACGCAGGGCTCTCTGGGCGGGAGCCAAGATCGGACGAGGGGCGTGAGTCGGAGCGGTCACTTGCCTTGTTGACGGCTTTGGCGAGGCGATCCTGAAGTCGGGAGTTTGGTCTGCTTCGTGACGGGTTCCGCGAGACTTCTGGGCCATTAGCATCCACGGAGCTTGCTGCTACCTTGGGCTTCTGGGGCTACCCACCAGCTTCTACCCCCAGCTTCTTGTCCACGGCCGCCGCCGCTTTGTCTGTGCCGTCGGCTTTGGCTGCGCCGTCTGTCGCTGCTGGCTTTGGGCCCGTAGAGCCATCTTCAGCCAGAATGGTGTCGAGCCGCGACTCGAGGCCAGAGAGGGCGTTGTTCCACCAGCCCTTGCCGCTCATATTGGTGGGTTTTTTTACTTTTTCGGTTGGTTTGCACGTGGAATGGCAGCGCGGGTCGTGACGTAGGGAAAGCGTTGCTAGCCTTCACCGTGCGCTCGTCCTTTGCCCGTGGAGGTGCATTGCTCAAGTACGCGAAGAGGCCAGGCTGTTCGGATGATGGTGGCAGTGGTGGTGATACGGGGAATGCGCCGCTAAGACATGGGCTGGCAGGTGTTGGACGCAGCAATGGGCGCGAATGCTGGATGCTGCGTCGGCTGCAATTGTTCGTCCGTGTGTACGTGTATGTATATGCGTATGCTGTATGGATTCGACTGTATTCAAATAAACATATGGACAGCTAACGGGCGCCGTCGTGATTCGTGTCTGTGAGCCTTTGCTGACGGGGTCGTCATCATAGTGCAGCGCCGGGGGCCAATCACACGCCGATTGGCCCGCCTTCCGCCCGCCTCTCACCCACTCAATGCCGTCCTCCGTCTTGGTCTGCGAGTGACGGCATGGGGTGTGTGGATTGCACAGGGACATGTATACAGTACTACATGTATACACAGTATCTTTGCCGCTGTCTAGTCTCGGCAATGTCCTTCGTCAATCTCGGGTACTACTCCGTAATATGCCATGTACCCAGCTACTAGTAATACTACACACTAACACCCTCGGCTTGGCATCGCCTACTTACTCCATACCCTCCCGCTCTACTTGTGCTTTTTGACCCAACCCCCCCAAGATTGTCACCATTTCCACGATGCTTGCTCCAATTGGCCTAGTTCCTCTATCGGAACTCATCTATCGCTTCTGCCGTCTTTGATAACGTCAGGGCGGCCCTGTCCTATTGCTTTTGCCTATGTCCTTGCTACAAGTCCCGCTTGCTGCTCTTCTACACACCAACTCCTCCTCAACCCCATGCCCATATCTCTCAAAATGGTACGCGCAGTAAGTTGCCCTTATTGTTGCCGTCTACAATGACAAGCCCACGCCCTAACCATTCCCTAGGCAGTTGGCCAAATGCGTTCCACGGCCTCCATGGCCTCTAATCTGACCCAAGCCCAATCCCTCTGCCGCAAAGCCCACCAAGCCGGCGCAAAAGCCCTCTTCCTCCCAGAGGTAAGCTCCCTGCTCCATTCTCTTCATCTACCCACTTCACAAAGCCAACCTTTTTTCTTTTTCTCTTAGGCAGCAGACTACATCACCACTTCCGGCGGCCTCCAACTCTGCAAGCCAGTCACAACCTCTGAATTTGTCATCGGCCTGCAAGATTGCGCAAAACAATACAATCTCGCCATCTCTGTCGGTATCCACGAACCCGTCTCCTCTGATGCGCAAAAAGTGAAGAACACCCTCATCTGGATCACTCCTCAGGGAGAAATTGCCCAGCGCTACCAGAAACTACATTTGTTCGACATGGATGTCAAGGATGGCCCCCAGATGAAGGAGTCGGATGGCGTCGAACGCGGCCTTGATCTTGGCCATCCCTTCGACAGCCCCGTGGGCAGGATAGGCATGCAGATATGTTTTGACCTACGCTTTCCCGAGCCTGCGCTTGCCCTCAGGAAGCGAGGCGCCCAGGTGCTCTTGTACCCTGCCGCTTTTACCACCCCAACGGGTAAGGCCGGTCACTGGGAAATACTGCTGCGTGCTCGTGCCATTGAGACGCAGAGCTATGTCATCGCTGCTGCCCAGGTTGGAGTACACGATGACCAGGGCAAGAGGCGGAGTTATGGACACAGCATGATTGTGGATCCTTGGGGCAAAATCGTTGCTCAACTCGGAGGCGATGAGGGCGAAGATGGGAAATGGGCCGACGACGGTGAGATTGCCGTTGCAGAGCTGGACCTTGATTACGTTGAGAATCTGCGCAAAGATGTGCCCATGACACGAAGAACAGATGTTTATGCAGATGTTTCTTAGCTACCATGTTTTAGTACAACCAGGACTCGTGTAATATCGACACTTGAAAACAAGAAGGAACCATTTCTGATCCCCGAAACCCGTGTCCACCCTCACTCTTTCTAACATTCATCTCTGATCCAAATCCTTGCCTTTCAGCAACCACTCCTTGCCGCCTAGCGTCAGATTCGCCAAAGGATGATGCGTCTTCTCAAGCTCACACTCCACCCTTTCCCTCACATGACGCACTTCGCACTGCATCCGTTCAGCCAAACACTTGAGCAACGTCGTAAACAAGCTTCTCTCCTTCCTATCCATTTCCCGCCTTGGTCCCTGCGTCCTCGGTGCCTCAACCCGACCCTTTACATTCAAACACACCCCTTCCCCCTCACGAATCCCGTAGTCGTGATAAAAATTGAGCAACGTTGTCTCGCAATCCGATCGGTCATGATATAGCAGCGTATCAGAAACGAATTCCGGGCCGATACTCAGTGCAGCTTCTGCAAAGCAGAATTCCAGCGCGTTGCGCAGTTCGAAGTGCTCTGCTTGCATGACGGACCCGTATGTGCGCTGGTTGATCCAGCCGGAGCCGTGGTACCGCGCTGCGAGTGTCGAGTGGTGGAGTACAAGGTAGATGGCGATCAACGCATCTCTATGCAACGACTCAATATAACACTGTCCGTCATCTTCATGCTTTTCTAAAGCCTCCCGCGTCAATCATATGTGCAAAAAACTTGCTTTACAAAAGGGACAGCAATGACTAACCGAGCAACGATATCCTGTGTATGAGTATTAAACCAGTGTAGGCTAGAAACGTATTGTGTGGCATGATTGCGTTGAAGTTGTGGTCGGAGCAGAGAGCATCCATGACGTCGTCTATAATGTCGTAGTTTCGAACACACTCGGCCAGCCAGTCGATGCTGAAGTCGCTTTTACATGGAAAATCTGTTTCCGCGTGGCGAAGCTCCTTTTGCATAAAGCAGCGCGTAAGCGATTGTTCGTATGTGCTGAATAGTGTGCGGAGCCGTGGATGCGCATTGCGCAGAGCAGATATCAGGGCTCCATTGCCGAATGGAATGTGTTGGAGTGTTTGGAGAACAATTTCTGGGGGTATCCGTGGCGAGATGAGGAAGTTTTGGTATACTGATGCGTCTGAAAAGTATATCATGATAATGAAAGGCTCAAACCTGAGCAGTGTTATGACTGTGTGCGTTAGGGTGAGAGTGATTGAGATTGTAATTAGGCTGGGGAGATGATGGCGGCCAAGCGCGCGACTGTACTAAATGTATCGAGGGTAACAGCGCTGTAGGTACCAACGGCTTTTGTACAGTCTTGAGATGGTGAATAAGGCAAACAGTCGATTGATACAATGATCGTGACATGGCTATATACCGAGCTAGTGAAGACCGTGATGGATGAAGGACGGGTACCATGATGGCGGGTCGCCTTTCAACATCGCAGGCACCAGTCACAAGGACACAAAGTGGAACTGTGCCGATCCACGATCATGATGTCCATCTCATATAGTCGTTTGTCGCACACTTGGCCATGGCTTTGATCTACAGTCTGCCTGTATCTGTGCTCAACGCGCTAGAGAAATCCAAGTAGCATTGGGTGCAGGCTAGTAAAAAGATTATGGCGCAATATTAGGGCCGATGTACAGAACAGGTGGGGGAGGGGTACTAGTAGGAGATGAAGGAGGTTACTAGTGGGGCTTCCGCCAATCTCTCCTAGCATTCTCTACAACGCTTTACCCGGGTATCTTGTAAACTCCGCAAACGAGATGCTACTATATCCACGTGGGCATGCCACTCCTACTAGACGAGATCAATACCCTCCCTCTCTGCCGCCTGCAAAACAAAACTCCTCGTCTTTGCATCTGGCGCTAGATCCAGAGGGACATGGCCGTCATTGTCCTGCTTGTCGAACTCGGCACCCAGAGTCAAGAGTAGCAGTGCTGCATCTCCGTGTCCCTCGCTCATGGCATGATGCAGCGGCGTCATGCCATCGACGTCGGTGGCATTGAGAGGGCTTTTGGCGTCTACAAGTGCCTTCATCATGGGTACACTGCCCACTGCTGCAGCGCGATGTAGTGGTAGCTGCCCACGTTTGTCCTTGACTCGTGCCGATGCTGGGGGCTTTTGTGCCAGCAATGTACGGGCAATGTCGAGGTTGGCTTTTGAGGCGCAAAAGTGCAATGCAGTCTGACCATTGTTATTCTTCGCATTGACGTCGGCGTCCTTGGAGAGGAGCAGGTCTACGATTTGTTCGGCGTCTTTCCGTGAGCACGCCATCATCAAGGGAGTCCAGCCGGAGCCATCGGTGGCGTCGGGATCGAATGACTTTGTCTGCACAAGGGACTGCACGATGGCGAGGTGGTTGTACGAGACGGCCCAGTGAATGGGAAGACGGTCGTCCGGGTCGCGGAGGGATGCAAGCTTGGGGTTGGCCGCGAGCAGAGAGTCGACGCGGGATGCTGGCACTGGTTAGAAGACCATGGCTCGCCTGGGCGGATGATTATTGCGCAGACCTTGGCCTTCTCGACACGCCTCATGGATAGCGTACTTGGCTTTGTATTCCTCCATTGTGGATTTCGCTTGAGATGCTGCCGCGTGCGTGTTGGAGTACCGCCACCAACGTTGATCCCGCCTCGACCGAGGCTTGAACAATACTGCCAGGCGGTGAGATGCTAGCGCCGATGAGGTCATGCATACCTGTATGTATCTACACTATCTCATTCTCAGGCTTCACTGTATTGCAAGGAATTATTTCTACTCATGTGGCTGGCATTAAAAACATTTTTTTTTGGATAAAGCAACGTTGAAAACCAGACAAAGTGGTATTATTACAAAATAGCTTTGCATAGACCACCTCAAAGCTCGCTCTTCCAAGAGTGATCCTCTGGTACACCCATCTTCCTTTGCTGGAAATTCAGTATCCGCTGGAGAAATATGGGCTTGATGCTCAAGATGCCAATCAGACTTAGCAAAATCATAAGCAAGACACCCAGGCCAACACCCAAAGCCACAGCATCCCCTTGCCTGCTGACTTTCCTGAGCCACGCCTTTGTGTCTTCGACAGCAATGTTTTCATCGTATGCCCGCCGCACGCTCATCAGCCCAGGAAGGCCGTCCAGAGATCGATGGTTGAACTGCTTTTGGTAGTCACCCAGTTCTTGCTTCTCTATCATCTTGCGAGCCCAGCCTTCCATTGTATCCCGAGGCTTGAAGCCATGATCATCATGCGTGCCAGGCTCATGATCGGCAAAAGCAACAGCGTCGCCGACAGCATCTGCGCCATCAGTCTTTGCACTGGCGATTTGCGGCACTCCGAAACCACAGCTCGTCTGCACTTTTTGAATCTTGAGCACAATCACCGCTCTTACACCGGCGATGTCGACATCATCTCCATTTTCCGTCGACATCTTTGCTCGGATTTGGCTAAAGTACTGATCCCACTTCTCCACCACTTTGCCCTTACAGAATAGCCGCATGACCTGTGGTGAAGGACCAAACGAGGAAAACATGAGCGTCACACGGCCATTTTCGTATATATGTGAAATGGTCTCGCAGCCACTGCCTGTAGCGTCGAGGTAGGCTACTGTGTTGGGTCCTAGAACGGCAAACGATTTTGAGGGATGTCCTTTGGGTGATATGTTGACGTGCTCACCAGCCCATGGCGCGCTGGCGACAAAGAAGAGAGGCTGTTTCGTGATGAAGTCGATATGTTCCTGCGTGAGGGAGGGATAGAATTTGACCATGGTCAGGGCGTCGAGTTATCAAAAGGCGGTCAGGGTTTTGGGGAAGGCGTTGTTGCTGTCCAAAGTGCAGTAATGCGGAGACTGTTGATGAAAATTTGAATACTGCCAGAGACCAAGTTGATGGAGAATGCTGGTATGTCTAAAGTAGATTGCTTGTAGACGGTTTTGTCGAAAAAGACAATGAGGTAGTAGAAGTCCAGAGATCAAAGTGACAACTGTCGATAAACAGAAGGCGGATAAGAAGTGCCGGACGCGTGAATCGTCTCGAGAGCCAATGGTCGAGTGCGTTGTTCCCTTACTGAAGTACGAACCTCAGGAGTTGGCGATTGTCTGTCAGGGATATTTGGTCAGGAAAGATTGTTAAGATAGTGAAATGCACGGTATCGGCTCTATGCCTATTTTGGACTGGCCCAGGAACTAAGTCGTAGTGGGGGCGGGGCGGGGCGCGTCTGCGTCGTCGAGGAATCGCGAAGTCATCGTCGCAGGTTGCAACATCACACGTCTAGAACGTCGCCATCATACTCAACATGGTGCTCGCACTAGCATTGAAAGCAGAACTCAATGGGTAAACCTTCCACCCCATCACAATTTGACAAAACACTCTACGTACTGAACTCATCCCAGGGTAACAGACCTCCGCCCCAACGACACCGAAGAAGCACCTTTTTTCTATACCTTCAAAGTTCAATGCACGTCATGTCGCGAGATCCACCCCAATTTCGTAACAGTCAACCGCTTTGAGATGAACGAGCAAAGCGGCAGTAAAGGCGAGGCAAACTTCGTATGGAAATGCAAGAACTGCAAGGTTGCTCTACTCACATGCTGATTCTATCATACCGCACTGCTGATGCTTTCAACAGAGGGAGCATTCGGCAAACGTCAAAGCTGCACCCGCATCGTACCCGCAGAGTGATCCACCCAAGATGATCAACATACTCGAGTTCGACTGCAGAGGGTTGGAGTTCACTGAATTCAAAGCTGAAGGCGAATTCCTTGCCACGGGTATTGAATCCGGCACCAAGTTTTCTGGCATAGAGCTACCTGATGGGGAATGGTACGATTATGATGAGAAAGCCGGCGAAGAGGTCAGCATCACAAATGTGCAGTGGGAGATTCGTCGTGCATGAAGATATCTAGTGTAGGCTGGTAAATTGATAGAGCTCTACCCCAATCTGTGTCGTAAGCCACCCGTTCCTACCAGTACCCAACTATTAGAAACCAATAAATATCCTTCTATCCGCACTTTGAAAGACCGAAAAAAAAGACTCAATACAACCTTTGCGTAAAGGATGCCCAGCAGCGAAATTTTGCGAAATTCACTATCTCGAGAGCCGTAGGTCTTGCTGGGCTTTCAAATACGCGTTGGCCTCTAGGATTATCGACATATCTCTAGTCCAGCCCTATACACCATCAGCGTCTAGGACTATATCCTAATAATAAACAGGATATCACCTTAAGCGCCTAGAAAGAAGTTATCGCGTGACTCTATCCAGTAGTATTAAGGATACCTTAGGTAATAGTATAATTAAATCTATAGCTATAAAACTACTAACTAGCTATAAATATAAAGTATAATAGATAGTAGATTTAGTACAAGTAATTATTCTAGGTTGAGTAAAAAAGGTTAACATTGAAGCTGAAGGACTTCTAGGCTTAGAAGAGTACATTTAAAAGAGTGTTAGTACTTAATTACTATACGAGTCTAAAAGCTAGTTATATAGATAAAGTTACAAAGACCTGTAAGAGCTGCACTAAGGTTGCAGGCTAGTTGAATTCCTGCATATATGTTAATTGACTTGGAAGGAAAGCTTGGCATGATGATCATCGTAAACGTATGCACCATCAAGTGAAGGGCCAAGAAGGCAGCAGCGCTGAAAGACGTAACTGTTGAATCAAACATGCCGAATCAAACTGTATTCAAGGATCCTGGGCCGATCATGCAACTTGCATAGCGGGCCAATGCTTTTGGTTGTTATTGCAACTAGCCTCGTTTGTTCATGCGCATACGCGGCGTGGTACAAGTGTACGTGTTTCCCTCTTAGCCAACGAAGATTCCTGGGGTATATACGAGTGCGAGAGTTAAGACGGGCGCCTTAGACAACTAGCCATCCGGATTGAAAGACCTTCCTATCTCTAAAACTATCGCATTGCTACCTCTACTATAACCCACCTTCCGCAGCAATGGACGTTCGCAAAGATCTCGATGAGTACACGCAGATCATGCAACAGCAAAAGCGTGTCCTACAAGATGCTAAGAAGAAGCAGGGTCAGTATCCCCGCGATCGCAAGGGCAGGGACATCATGTTGTTCGAGTTCACGATGGCGTCAGTGGCCAATACACAACGCGCTGGAAGCGAAGACACCCAAACGATACATTCGTCGTTTGTTCCACCAGCATATCCACCTTGTACCACATCTCTCGGCGATTTGAAACCTATCGCGATTGAAGGTCTCAGGCTCGAGACGCATCATCGTGGCTGCTATCTCATATTACGAGCCATCACCCCTCCGAACCGTATGACTGCGATTCTTGTTCTGGTTGAAGACGAACACGGGGACGTCACGCTATTGCAACTGTACCAACAGGAAGATGAGGCCAGCCGTCCAGCATCTACTGTTGTTGACAAAGGTTCAGTCCTTCTGATTAAGGAGCCTTTCTTCAAAATTACGGCGTCTGGAGACTACAGTTTACGAGTGGATCATCTTTCTGATATCATTTTCCTTGGTAACAACGATTCCAGGATACCACAATCATGGCGACAAGGACTGTTCAAGTCGGGAAGATCCGCGGACTCTCTGAAGCTTGAAGGGAATGGATTTATAGGGAAAGGAGAGTATTGGAGGGCTATCGACAAGTGAGCAAGCTGACTGATGAAAAAGTAATCGCGCTAACGTATGGAGCAGGTACTCGGACGCTTTAGCGCATCCCGCAACACCTGACGAGATTCAAGTGATCAAACGAAATAGATCTTTAGCATATCTAAAGACCAGGCAATATGATGCCGCGTTGTCTGATACTGGCTTCCCAGACTTTGGCGTGGAAGCCTCGGAGAAAGCATTGTTTCGAGCAGCGGAAGCTCTATACCACCTCACTCGCTACGAAGAATGTTGCAGCGTGCTCGAGAAACTCTGCAGACTCTTTCCGAACAACAAAGAAGCAGTCGCTGCACATACCCGTGCACGCAATCGAGTCCGTGAGAGCAGCACCGGAGAGTTTGACTTCAGGCTTCTCCAAGCTGAAGCAAGGAAGCGTATTCCCCCACATCTGGACCACGGCACTTATATTGGACCAGTAACGGTTAAGAAAGCCAAAGGAAAAGGTCGCGGCTTATTCACAACCGCATCTATGAAAGCAGGGGATCTAGTACTGTGTGAAAAAGCTTTTTGTCATGCTCACGTCGACGAACCGGGGAAAGGCAATGCAAAGGTGACTCTTTTGATGAATGTGGAGACAGAAAGAGCTTTTATGGGCGGTCAAGCACATCTCATTCAGTTGATCACGCAGAAGCTGTACAAAAGCCCTTCTATGGCTGCGGCTTTCACTGAATTGCATCATGGCGATTACAAGGCGGTCGACAAGATGTTTGTTGATGAACAACCGGTAGTAGACACGTGAGTAGCACCTGTAATGATGAGCCAGCCGACTTGATAAACTAATGTTTTACCCTCCAGCTTTCTCGTCGAACGAACAATGGCCCTCAATGTCTTTGGCTGCCCTGTTACATCCCTGAAAAGTCACAGCGATGTCATGTCTAGCAAGCTCTCGAAAAGAGATTCCGTATTTGATTCGTGTGGCATCTGGATCAAAGCCTCATATATCAATCATAGTTGCCTCGGCAATGTGCGTCGCTCTTTCATTGGAGATATGATGATAGTGCGCGCATGCAAGAACCTGGAGGCTGGTGTAGAGCTAGCCTTTCCCTATGAAGCTCCAAGGGGTGATTATGTTCCCCAGGTTGAGCAAAAGTTCAAGAACTGGGGATTCATTTGCAGGTGCGCGCTTTGCGAGGATATTAAAACCACCAAACCGTCGGAAGTGGCAAAGAGAAGGAGCTTGCTGGATCAGCTGGACCGTCTCTGCAAAGCTGGCTTAACAGCGCACAATGTTCCGACCAAACTGGAACGCTTAATCATGGCGCTGGACGAGACATACAAGCGTCCGGCGGAGGAGGTTCCTCGACTTTTGCTGTTGGATCCACAGCTATTGCTGACGCGGGTCTACATGGAAAAGCTTAATCCCACGAAGGTGTTAGAGTCGGTTGCAAAAACTCTCCATACTCAAGGCTTCATCGTCACTGGGCTTGATCAAACTCGTTCAGCTTTGGTTATTCACAAATGGGGTCATATCATGGACCATATGTTAGAGATCTTTCTACATGGGCAGTCAGCCTTCGAGCAATTGAGGATATGGGAGAAGTCAAAACAGGCCGAGCAATATGCAAGAGTTGCATATCGGATATTGGTTGGGGAAGAAGCATCCTTCAATCGGACATGTAACACAGAGTTGTAAATTCCAGGTCGCCGTAAAGAAGCCCCCATTCAAACGCCGACAGCTCGAACATGGTGGAACGGGAGACGATGCAGATCATTAGGATCGTTGGGCGAGGTACCTTGTTTAGCAAAAACCTTGCGTGCAATCTCTAGCACAATGGCTGTCTCCCTAATGCAAGTATAGCAAGCTATCGACCCCGAAAGAAAAACTTCTTGCGTGCCGTATTTGCTTACGATTTTAGCCCAAGTACCACCTCTGACTGCAAAGTAGCAGGCGGTACAGCTTATAATTAAGTCCTCTTGAGTCGGTGACGGTTTTGGCGACCTTGTCGTAGTGGGACGCTGGGTCAATGATTGCGATGTGATGGTAGGTTTTGCTGTTGGCATTCCAGGTATGCCCACACAATAGCACGTCTTTGCCCAGAGGCAGAAGGGGTTTAAAGTACGCGAGACTCTGTTGGACAGTCTATGTGGGACTATCACATTGACCATTAATGCGTCAAACGTCGAGGACAACCAGAAGACTCAGCCCATGCTATTTGCTCTCTTTCCAGCCCTGAGGCGTCTTTTATCAGTGGCCAGATTCTCGATGTCAGCGGTGGCTTTACATCTCATTAGGTAGTGATACATGTAGATGGGGAAAAGCAAACAGGAGACAGTACTTGCATTGCAATTAAATGATGATCACGGAGCATTGTAGTCTGAAACTTATTCATATTGCAATCAGCTTGGATGTAGCACTGAGCAGTGATCTGCTGCATCGCCTCCTAGCCCTGTGGGCCAATAGGCCTTGTTGGATACGCTCGAATTGTTAACCAGGAATTGTTCCTCACGTTCGCAACTGCAGGTCTGTTATCCATGGTCGTATGTCAGCTTATCCTTTCTGCTCTCGAATACCCAGACTATCTTGAGCCACTTAGGGAAGAGATTGAAAATGCAATTCGCGAACGTGGAGTCTGGAACAAAGACGCTTGTGCGAGAATGCCAAAATCAGATAGTTTCTTGCGAGAGACGTTGAGGTTAAGTCTTCCTACTGCGCGTAAGTCGATTCCTGGGGGCATGAAGTTGGATAGTGACATCTTGTTGACCATTTCCCAAAGCTAAGTTACAACGAAAGGTCGATGTGGACATCCCTCTGTCGAATGACGAAGTGATCAAAGCTGGTACACTCATCGGGTTTCCTACTCTGGCTATCCAACGAGATGAAGATTACTACTAACGGCCCACTGGAATTTGATGGATACCGTTTTTACGATGCCGACACAAACACTACCAAGGTAAAATCGGTGACACAAAGCCGCTAGGGTATATAGGTGAAGTATTCGGTAGCTAGGCCTAGCTACCCTAGAGGCACAACTATCATCAAATTCATCCTTCACATTTAACACATTAAACGTCTGTTCCATCTTGAGCGCCAATGATGCCATTGGGGGCAAACCGATTGTCAAGGGCAACGCGTGATGCGAGACGTGCGTCGTTGTTCGAGGCGAGACACACATTTTCGCTGGGCTGGGAAGCGCATTTGACGGGATTGACAACGAATATCGGCGGACCTCTTTCGATAGGTTGTTGATACTGGTTGCAGGGAGGTGCTTCTCGATCAAAGGGAGGCACGTGTGATCTGGAAGCGCGGCCGTAGTGCAATGGCCAACGCAGTTTTCTGCTAGAGTTCAGTGCATCATTGACCTCTTCCACGAACGTCATGGCATGCGCATTGGTGATGAGTTTGTTCACATTGCCCTGCCTCCAGAACATTCTGTCGCCTAGCTTTCTGCGCAAGGCTGCAGTAAGCGTGCGATACTTGGGCGCGAAGAAGTTTGAGATGGTATCAATATTCCACGCGATCGCCATCAGTAGAATACTGAAACCAAAGGATACCGGAACTGCAAGTGTTAGCCAGTGAGGACCATGCACGGTCAGTCAACATACACATAATACTCGACAGCCAATTTAAAGACAGCCAACCGTCAGCGACGTCGATCCACGGGAACTCATCTATTTGGAGCGCAAAAAAGGAGGTCATGAATGAAAGTAGGAGCTGCGGTATCCAGTTAGCATGACTACCGTGGCGATAAGGAGGAAGGGGCAAGTTCGTATGAAGATGATGGTCACGATGGTGAAGACCATCAATGTTCTGCCTTGACTGGCAGCTTCTTTACCCTGTGCCGCGGTCTCCTTGGCGTGCCTCTGCGCGATTTCGCCTTGTTTGGCTGTCTCTCTTGCCTGGAACAGAGTTGCTTCTGCCTGCTTGCGCGCGATTCGCGCTTCTTGGACGTTTGCGAATTTCTGCTTAAGATCGACCAACTTGGAAAGCTACAGCAAGTCAATTGATGGCACGAATCGATGAACTGTTGTTGATACATACAGCGTCGTACGTCCGATCTGCATGTATGGTCATGTTTTTGACCTGCTCCTCGTAGCGGATTACCGAATGCCATGACTTCGAAGAGTGCTTTGAGGGTGTACTGTGCTTCTTGGGAGGCTTTGATTTAGGTCGATTTGGCTCTTTGGATGCATCAGGTTCTGTAGATGAATTGACCTGGTCGAGTGAATTGACAACAGTCTTCTGGTCCCCGATGACTCGCCCGAGGGCATGCAGCTCATCCTGAATGTCTTTGATCTGCTCCAGCAACTCAATCTCATGTGCTACCTCACGGGTTTTGATCCGTGGTCCAGGGATGTCGACTTCGTATTGACTTAATATCTCGTTTCCGTCGGTGCTGGCAGTTGGCTCATCTTCCTTTCTTTGTTTATTAACTTCTAGACTAAATTCTCTGAAAAGAGTCGTCTCCCTATCTGCCTAGTCCACTTTCAGTTCAAGTTCGTTGAAATGGGTCAAAGAACCTACGATACGTCCAATCTCTGTGTCGTAAAACTCTAAGAACTGCAGATTCGTTGCGTCATTGGTACCTGGGTCCAAGCAGGACGTCAGACAGTTGTATACGATTCTGCTGGCCAGTTCGTAATGCGTCTCGATTTGCGAGGGATCTCCCTTGACGTTTTCAAGAACATCGGTTTTGTCAGGAATGTCATCGAGCTGACCCTTGCTCAGGCGTCCCGGGAAGCTGGTAATGACGGTGTCTAACGCGTTGGTTAGTGGGCTGCAACGTACAAGCAACACGTATTATTGTACCTTTGCCCAGTATCCACATCCATAGTTGATCAATTACGATCATAGCAGGGCGACCTTACTTCTGGCTCAAAGTTCCTTTCGCGTGCATCCGGCTGACGAGCTGATCTTTGTCTCCATAACTCGTATTCGGCAAAGCATGGTAGCAGTACTGATCGAGACTGCGCCGCAGATGGAGTTGACGAGCAAGACTACGGCCAAATTTGTCTGTACCAGAGCGCATGTAAAGCCTCATAAGCTGTTGATGCGGCAGACTGATACCGTAGATAGAACTCCCCGTCGTGTCAACCGGTTCGGATTGTGTGACACATGCTGATGCGTATCGAGACATCGATTCGAATGTTTCGGTGTACTCCCAATAAACGTATGGCATCTATATTCCGTCAGCGAGGCCTGCATGAAAGTCTGGTGCTCGGCTGACCATAAGCACAAAGCTGTTAGAATCTGATCCATCTGTTGCAACCTGTTACCATGCTGTTCAATCAAGCACGCAAAATGCACTACACCATATCTATCTATCGGCAAAACGGCCTCATGTATCGAGCATGTGGCAAGTTCTTGGAGCCAGTATGTAGCTGATCCTTCCAAATATGCTCGCCAAGGATCTTGCTGCGATCCAAGCCTCTAGGTTGCTTTTGTGCGCGGTATCGGAGCATTGCCAATTAAGCCTCAGTTAGCCGCTGGATCGACAGGTGCCGTGACAACGCACTTCGATCCATCGCATCTGAGGGAACAAAATTAGTATCTACAGCGCTCAGAGTGCCGATTTCTCATACATTGTTCGTCGGAAGATGGAGCCATTTAATGGCTGCGTCTTTCTTCATGTGGGCCGCATATACGTCTTCCGAGCTGAGCAGGTCTCCAAGAGAGGATATTTTCGAGGTCTTCCATAGGCCGTACTGATAAGCCACCACTGTTGGCTGAAACTCCTGTTCGATATCTTGGTCATCCAAGTGTGTGTCAAAGAGCCAGGCATCTTGTTGCAGCTCCATTGCTAACTTCTGGGCTTTTTCCCAGCTAGGGTCTGATCCTCCCTGAGAATCTATGAGGTCACGGATCAGCTCACTGATCAGTTTTCTCTCATTGTTGCAGACGGAGCAACAGGCAGAGTGCTTTAACAGTGCGTTCAAGGGGAGCAGGCTCTTGGAAACCACTGCCAGGTGTCCCGGAGTCTGGCCTCTGTGGTCTTGTGCGCCCGGCCATGCACCTAACTTGAGAAGGGAATTGATCAATGTCAAGTTGTTGGCTAGTACTGCACAATGCAATGCTGTACGTTTCTTACTGTCAGCATTATTCAGAGCACTCTTATTTCCAGTAAGGATATTGACCATGTCGTCGTGATCCCGAAGACCAACCTTCTCCATAAACTTTTGGGACCCACCAAATGGGTTCGTGAAGTAGGGCCGACTCGTATAATAGTTCCAAATTTCAGAAAAGCGAAAAGTCTCGTGGCATTGCATGAGGACTGGCAGCAGGATCGGTTTCGAAGCTGTGTCTGGAAGGATGTCTTTCTCCACACTGAGTCGATTGAGGAACCAATGTACCTTTTCCAAGGAATCGCTTTTGGCGTGAATAGCGGCGACTTCATCTTCGTAATAGCTGATGATCGATTTGATGTGTGGATCTTCGAAATCGCTCTTCTAGAAGCTATTACTTTGATCCGCAGGATGTTCGTTACTTTCGTAAGCCAACGAACCAATGACAGACTTGATAAGTGGAAGACGATTGATTTCCGCATTAGTCAGAAGTACTTGAATATCGAGCCCGGCCTCGTGTAGTTGCTGGGTATCGTCAGGCTCTTCAACCCGCCGGATCTTTGTATGGTTGCGATGTGCCTGGATGAGATTGAACAACAGCGTTTTGAGCCTTTCCTGGAATTTCTGGGGCAATGCCTCTCTCCAACGCAGAATGAGAAGCTCTGAGAGTGGTAGCACATCGCCTGCATCAGCAGCACTGCGATATTCAAGCTAGCGCCCTTCCATACGATCAAATAGGAGCCGAACATATGTCATGGCATCCTCGTAATCTTGCCAGCTACGATCATAATATTCGAGGAATACCTCGTCGGTATCGCAACCAAGGTCACGGATAGCTTCCTGTTCCTCTGCTCCAGGGCCTCCATCGGTTTTATTGCCTCCAACGCTCTTTGTTGCATTGTCATATGTGTCATTGGTCGCTGTTTCGATATTGTGCGGTGGCTTCCAAACTTCCTCGAGATGCGTCTTGAGATGTAGGTTGAGAAGATTGTAGATCTCCCTTGGTTCTCCAGCTTGACCTCCCTTAGGGTCCTGGGTACAGAACTTATCGAACGCTTCGTCCGCAGTGGAAGCTCGTAGCCATCCTACAAAATGGTATTTCAGAGCATTGTCCAGACCCGGCTTAATATCATTCCATCTGTTTAGGCTGTTAGACGGACGGTAATATTCCACCTTTCAGACGACTAGCTCGAGATGCAGCCAAACAACCTGCAAAAAAGTAAAGAGAGATGTTTGAACTTACGTTGCTTCGGGGTCTTTCGAGCTCTGGTTAAGGCCTGATCCCGGATCCATTGTATTTGGTTGATGCTTTGACGCACTGGATCGGAGGTAGCACGGACAAGAAGAACGAATGCAGTTGAGTTGCTCAATGGTTTGACAGGGGAGATGGCATTAGCAGACATCGACGCAGCAGCTCCGCAACGAGCGCTGAATAGGTGCCAACATCTTCAAGCCCGACCAGGCCCTTATCGAAGCCCATTCCATCGAAATCGGTGCCGATGCCGACGTGGTTAAAGCCGATCAAATTGCCCAGGTAGATGATATGGTCAGCAACGTCCGCGACACGCTGAAGGCGTCGCGTTGTGTCGCGACCGAGGTGCGCGATAGATCGACCATGAGGCTGTCAGTCATGCTACCGGGTTTCTGAAAGGCCCTAGCGCGATGCCGTTAATCATAATGGAACTAACAAAGAGATCTCGTTTGAACAGCTGTGACTTCCGAATTAAGTCTTTGTCGCGGGCAAGTTCTTTGCCTAGCAAGATACGAGACGTAATGCGATTCATTATCTCCGTAAACTTGAGGAAAACTTATATCGTCATCTATTTGTTGGCGATACCTAGTTTTGCTTCGAGGATGTACTCGCAGTTTTCCCTTCATGATTTCGACTAGCGAGGCTACAGGCTGATTAGACAAAGGAAGCACACGATGATGTCGACCTGTCATCAAACCAGAACACGGACTTATTCACCCCTATAGACAGGGCGCATTTATCAGCTTTCTTTCTTTCCGACGTTGACCTGGATACCCAGCTAGACAGCCACCAAGCCATTGATTTTGGCAGCCTCGTCAACACTCTCGCAGACGGCATGGCGAACCTCCCACTCGACTCGCCCTTTGCACTGGGGATATCTGAAGCTGATAACACCACCACGACAACTGCTGCTACAACTACTACCACCAATACTAGTAATAGTATCCCTGTAACCATGACTACTGCCATCCCAGCAGCTCCCAACATGATACTGGCATCATGCCAATACGCACCAACGCTACTACAACATCTCGGCGAGACAGCGGATAGCAACACGCTTGCAGCGGCGATAGACAGTGAACCTGGTGAGGAAGGCTTTCTGGCCAGCGCAGTGCAGCGCTCGCGAGTGCTGCTGGACCATTGTTCCATAGTTCTGTCCTGCGGGCTATGCAGCCGACGCATGTCGTCGACACTGGTACTGCGCCAAGCCATGGACGAACTGAGTATGGCTTTAGGTATGGGCACGCTGTGGACGGATAGGGGGTTGTGGTAATAACAACAGCGGTGGCGGCAGCACGTCCGCATATGAGCAGGATAAATTGCCATTGATCAGCAATTTTGGCAAAGGACGAGGTGCGGCTGCGTGCGCGCGCATGACGGTTGGATTGGAAAGGGGAGTCACGTCAAAAGTAGGTTAATTTCGAGCGGCAGCTACATAGTATGGGTAGTTTCCAGGCGTTCGATTAAAAAACAAAAGCTGGATGTGTAATATGAAAGAATAATGGAAAACACGGATGATGCATACATAGAGATCAAGATGATGAATTAAAGATTGCTTAACTAATGGTAACTCCTTGTACTTGAATCAATCGCTTTTCAACGAAGTAAAAATGACAGATGCATTTTTTGGAGAGGGAGGGGTCCATGATTTAATGGGCTGCGAAACTAGCTGCAATTGCCTGCGAATCGACTTTGCCAGCACGGGTCAGAGGGAAGGCGTCAACGCAAGCAATAGCAGAGGGCACGGCTGGCTTGGGCAGGATCTGCAACATGGCATTCCTGACTTCATCTTGGGACAAGGTAGCCGGCTGAATCACAGCAACGAGGCTATCTCCTTTTTGAGACCTTGTAAGCGCGACGGCTTTGACATGCGGCAGCGCCTTGAGAATGCGGGTCTCAAGATCGTCCAGATCGAGCCTGAAGCCGCGCAGCTTGAGCTGGCGGTCTCTCCGACCAAGGCAGACGATATGACCGTTGTGATCCCAATAGCCGTAGTCGCCAGTCTGATACATGGTTTCGCCCAGACCGGGACATATCGTGTCCGGCACGAAGCGGGCAGCCGTGTGATCAGGCATGCTGGCATAGCCCAGGGCAATCTGCACTCCAGCAATGTAGATTTCGCCAACGGCGCCCGGTGGGAGTAAGCAGCCGTTGCGTCCCAGGATGTAGAGGCGCGACGTTGGATTAGGGTGGCCAATGGTGACGGGTTGTGTGGGGCGTAGCCGAGTTATGGTTGCGCCACCCGTACCCTCGGTGGGACCGTACATGTTGTATAGCTTGCGGCCGCCAGTGGCCCACTTGTCGACAACAGGGTGGGGGACTTGCTCTCCGACCAGGTAAACAGTCTCGAGGTTGGCAAAATCTGCAGGCGATAGGCAACGGGCGACCGAGGGCGTCATGATGGCGCTACTGACTCGGCGCAGGACGTCGAAGGGATCAGCCAACGTGGCCGGGTCGCGCAGGACGAGCGTTGCCCCATAGCAGAGGGTAGAGAAGATCTCATGGATGCTTCCGTCGAAGGCGGGCGACATGAATTGGGCGATTCGGACGCCCGGGTTCGCGTGAAGGCGTACCTCGACGTCAGCCTGGAAGGCGATCAGGGCCTGGTGGGTGCACACGACGCCCTTGGGACGGCCAGTGGAACCAGAGGTGAAGCAAAGGTACGCGGGGGCTAGCGGCCGGGGAGTGTGCTTGTTCATGTACTTGAGTTCTCCGTCGCCCTCTCCGTCGCCGTCGTCTGCATGGTGGGGAGCAGCTGCGACAGCAGGGAGCAATTGCTGGCACACCAAGTGGGCACACCCGTCTGGCATCAACTCTCTCTGCCACTCATGACCAACGACAAAGACACGGCCGCCGGCCGTCCCGAACATGTCGCGGCGAAGCTCGTGGGGGAGAGTGGCATCCAAGCTGCAAAAGACAGCGTCGGCTTGCAGTGCGCCGAGCAAGCCCACGATCCATTCCAAACTCCCATCCGCATGCACGCACACAACCTCGCCAGCCTTGACCCCAGCCTCGCCCAAGGCCGTGGCGGTGCGAGCCGCGAGCCGATGCAGCTCAGCGTACGTGATGCGTCGGTTGCCAACCTCGACTGCCACCGCCTCTGCGTGCGTGCGCGCGGCCGCGTCCAGCATAGATACCAGATCCTCGTGCATATGCGCAGCCCGTGTCGTCGACCCAGATATGCAGTTTCCCAAGACTCGCAGCCGCATCTGCATGGGCACTGTTACTAGCGCTGACTTGCACGCATGCATGGGCGTTGAGTGCGCAAGCCGCTCCAATGCCGTAGCAAAGCACATGGCCATGTCCTCAACGGCCGTTGCGGCATATCGATCTGCATGGTAGACCACACGTAGGCTCATCATTGCCTCATCGAGCGCTAGGCTGAGTGGAATGCTACTCTCAAAGTCGTACTGCACGGGTCGAAGTGGCTGCATTTCCTCGCCAGCAGCCGCCCTGTCGATGCCCCGTGTGACGGACAAGGCCGCCTCGAAGTCGCGATTCAAGCCGTGCTCGGGTGCACTCCATTGATAGCACGAGAGTTCTACCAAACCGTTGAAGACGTTCTGTACAAACTCGTCCGTCATTATAGCCTCGTCAACATTTGCGTAGAATGGCAGTGAGTTAAGAATAGGGCCAATGACGGTGTCGATGCCGTCGATGGGCAGGTTTCGCCCACTCATAATGGTTCCAAACTTGACCTGACTGACATCTGCATACGTGGCTTGCACGACCGCCCATGCTGCATGGAAGAAGGCCGCCACAGTGACGCCTAGCTCCCTGGACTTCTCCCGTAGCAGCTCACTCAAGTGCTCAAAATTGACGTTGACTTCGTTGCGCTTCTTTCCTTGGATGGTCGGCCATTTCGTTGCTGCCGCTGCTGCTTCTACTTGTCCCTTCGGTCTCTGCAAACCAGTCTCTGTAGCTGCCCCTGTGTGCTCTCGTACACAACTTTGCCAATACCGAGTCGCAGCTTCGCTCTGTTCCTTGGCCAGTGCTTCGATCTCTTTGGCCGCCGTCAAGAACGATTTTCCTGCCCCAACTCCCACTTCTCCCGCTGCTACCCTCCGCACCTTGACCGCGAGACGTTCCATGGCAAACCCATCCAATAGAGCATGATGGATAGATAGTATAATGGTAGCTTCACTCTCACGACGTCTGCCGCTGCTGCTCTTGCTACCGACTCCTTTAAACACGACGGTCTTGAATACAAACGTCGGCTGTACCTGTCCCTCTCTTCGCGCCAGTTCTTCTTCGTATGTCGTACGATCAAAAGTTACTACTTGTGTCCATGGGCACTCAAACTTGCGTTTGCACATGACATATCTCCCCTGGCCCGCCTCTTCAAACCTAGTAGAGAACATTGGTTCCATAGCTAGCACCCTCTTCCAGGCATACGTTATGAAGGGAAGATCTTCGAGGCTCCATGTTTCAAAATAGTGTATTGTGCTTTGCCCGCTATGGATGAACGCTGCTTGCAGACCAGTTGCCGGGGCTGACTCTTCATTCGAGATTGATAGTGGTTTGATCCCTGATTGCTCTGATGGCAAAGCATCCTCTACATTCTCGCCGTCTGGGACACTAGAACAGCCAGACAGCGAACGAGATGGCGACTGTGACAGAGATGATAATGACGACGGTGTTGTTGATGGTTGTGAATATTCGGTCACTGTTGAACTGGAAATAAGCTCGTGCTTGGCAGGGGCCTCCCTTGTGCGCGGACCATCACCTGGCAGCAGCGCTTCGATAGAAGGTGATGTGAGTAGCGTAAAAACTGTTGGAGGTTTGGACACCACGGCCTTGCATGCGTGTTGCACCTCGACCGCCGACAGTGAATGGCCTCCGAGCCCAATGAAACATTTTGATGTGTCGATGCTTTCCGCCGGTACGTCCAAGGCCTTTGCAATCGATGAGAGAATGAAGGTGCGTTCTGCTGACGTTGAGTCAAACATTGTGAACAAACGAAGCAACGAAAAAGTATCAAAAAAGGAAGCGCAAGAAGTCAAGATGATCACTGTTGGGTGTGACTAGTGTGGGATGTGCTCATTAAAGAGGTGCAATCGATTCATATTTTCTACACCATGTCTGCAAACGTGTTTTACGCTACCAATAAAGATAAGGTGGCAAAGGAGCTCTACGCCAACCAAAAGCGTCCTTAGCGATACTAAAGTTCATTTTTTAGGTCTACGATCTAGGTGACAATCTTAACAGACACTGTGGTTGGCTTAATTCTCCTTATTCTGGGGGTTTATGGGTCCAAAAAAAAGTTGACTGGCCGGGCAAAATACGATTGCAGACATGGTGTATTTTTCTTGCACAGCATCCCGTGTATTGTGGATCAAATGGACTTGTGGAATAAGGCCCTCCGTCGCTATATGGAAATTTGCTTTTATAACTGTTACAGTCTGTGCCCCGTCTGCGGGGACCGACTGAACCGTGTATGCCATCTCATACTACTATTGGCCATTTGAACATAAGAGCTGGGTTGAATATTTGAAATTGCAGTCTCGGTACGCTCCTTCGCCCCACCAACACCAACGCCACCAACGGGACACCGTGCCGATCCGGCTAGGAGCTATCTTAAAATGCACGATGTCGTCTAAGTATAGCTATTAAATAGCGCAATAATAGCTGGCATGTAGGGTCTTCAAGTTACTGGCCGTATGAGCAGAAGAGTCTCCTTGAACCTTGACACTCTCTTCGATATCACTATGGCGAAGCGATCAGCCAAGCACACCAATTTGTGGTTACTCAAAGTGCTGCAATTCTGCGTTCCGGAAACCGATATGATTGACATACGAATTTTCATAGTACCAAACCTAACTTAAATTTGCATGCCCCGAAAGCATTTCCTACCTACTATACATACACGCTTTCCTGCATTGTCCGAGCAATTTTACATGCTTTCTTATCCACCCATAAACCACTCTGTGATTTGGTAGACCAAGCTTTGGGAGCAAGGTCAAATACACAATGCCACATATTCCTCAGTGGGTGGATCTTGGTAATAGACCACTCACCACTATCCGCCAATGCAATTCACTCGTCCTTTGTCGGCTCTACACCATCTGCTGTCATCATCATGTTCATGGCACCGTAGCGGGACAACCTCGCACTCCTTGTCGTGTCCAGCATCTCCTCCAAGATAGTCAGTCTGCTGTTCTCGCCTGGTATAATAGCCTTTTCGATGTTGCTTAAAATGCACCTAGCATCCTCATCACGCCAATCATATAGCGTCCACTTCATCGTATACACATTGCAAGGCGGGATGCTCTCAAAGAAATCGCCACCAATGAGGTTTTCAACAAACACCTGCGCAGCTGCATCTGTAAATTGGCCGTCAGCCGAATGGAATAGCGGCTTCGCATACTCAATGACGTGTAGGAGGTCGAAAATGCCGCCCTTGAGAGATTTGTGCGCACGCAAGAGCATGGCAATGAAGCCGCCACCTCTACCTCTAATGTCAATGATCGTCTCCTTCTCAATCTCGCTCCATGGATAGTCGGCTAGAATGCCTGGTGCTTGGGCTGCCGCACCTGCTCCAAGTGACGCGTGCAGCTGTGGCACCCATCCTTGGCTGCGGAAGTACTCAAACATGCTGACGTCAATGTCATAGTTAATCTGAGCAGCCGACCAAACTGCATCTTGGCTCAGTAACGACGGAATTCCACGTGCCATGTCATAGAATTGTGTCCCATAGAGCGTGGTCCAGCTATGCCATCTTGTTCAATGATCCGACAGCAAAAGCCTTGACCTGGCGTTGTTTGTGTATGTTTTGCTCGTTTTGTCATAGGCAAATATGACGTTCCTGACAACGACTCGAAGCACCTGAGCGAGACGATGGGCGCGCGCTGAGCACGCTTTCCCAAAAGATACAATGTCCATTGATCCAGACTTCTCGAGATGGTCGGCTATTTTCAGTTTGATCGATGGATTTGGTCGCCAACTTCTTCAGCCCTTGCTATGATTATGCAATCCTTTCTGCAGTTCCTGACTTACATCCTGGGACTTGAGTGAGCGAAGCACGTCTTCGAGTTTGGTGTTGAGAAGTTTCAATACGGTTGTCATTGTGTATGTGAGAAATGTGCGAGCCATCTGTGTCTGTGCAACTGGAGGCTTGATACGAAAGACACCGGATGAAGCCTGAAAGCCCTTTGGAAAAGATCTCACAATGGTCGAATTTATTATCCTGACATTATGATAATAATTAGTCGACTTGCAGTCTCCATACGCGCTCCATCCAGGAAGATTGATGCAGTACCTAACCTTGGTCGGTAGCCGACGCAGCAGCGGGTAAGTCAATCGACCACTGTACGAAGCGTGAATGTTACACTAACTCCCAAAGGGAATACCGGTTACTGACGTCCATCATTTAGTTGCGATACAATATGTGGTGTTTTGGATTTGGTCCACGGCCATGCATGGGCAAATTTGTTGCCGACCGCATGCTTCGGAGCATAGTTGCTAGCATCATTAGAGACTGGCAGTTGCAGCTCAGACTAGAAGATGCTACTAAGGACTTTACGGTAAACCCTGGCGAATGGATCACACATCCTGATATTCGCCTCATTTGCAACAAGCGGCAAGCATGAATGAGCGAGCTATCTGGACCGGTATTCATTCATTTAGAGGCTGAGAGATCCTCTATACAAAGACCTTTTTGGGACATGCATTGACAATCATAATAATGTGCGCAAGGGTTTATCGCCTTGTTACAGATCTTCGAAGTCTTTCGGCTATAAATATCAATGTTTTCTGTGTTTCCATTAATTCTTGTGGTTCTTATTGTGCCGGTGCACAGGGTCACGTGTAACCCTTGTGCTGACAGTATGAACCATTCTGAGGACTATATGATAGGATTTTCAGAGTAGAGTAGAGCGACATGCAATCTTTCAGGTTTTATTCTATACTGTGCCCTCTTTCTCCTACGAGACTACGCTCCTCGCCCATGGAGATCCTAGGGGCAACTCCGTACATCTACCCGCCCACCATAGTAGAACCTGTATTCACTACACACTCTACACCCGTTCATTATATGCACAGATCTCATAGAACAAAGGACTCAGGCGTGGTTGCTCTAGTAGATTCCGTCAACAAACTCAACCAAATAGCGACTTGGAGCACATGGAAGGATCATTCCCTAAATATTTATCTTCAGCTGCTTAATTTTTTCGACATTTGTATCTTTCAGTACCAAGATCATTACAGCTAGCATAACTTAACTTGTCATTAAAATGAACAAAAGGCGCAGAAAACAATGCTGGAAAATAATTGAAGTAAGTATCTGAGAAATGGATAGTAGCAGTAGTGCGGGAGAGGTCTACCTGGCTAAAGTCATAATTACCATCTATATCATCTAGCTTGTATTACTATCAGTTGGATGGTCATATATTCACTACTCTAATTGTATCAGACTAAAGTTTTTAAACTATAGTCTCCGCTTAGCTGAATGAATAATACACTTCTCGCTACACTGTTTTGCTGTGGATTGAGTGGCAAACTACCAAAATAGGGATAGCGTTATGAAGTGCATTGTTTATTTGGGTTAAGGGGTGGTGGAGTACTCGGCAATCTTCTGAACGTATAGTATCAGGCAAGATGAAGAATGTGGAGTACCTCGCAAACTTAAAGGAAGGGACTAACCGGTCCGATGTACATCTCACCTTTAATAACTTTGCCTCCGACACGTCTGCATGGTCTACGCGAGGATGCACAATATTCCATCTCTACCGCACCCCAACAATGGCTCCGAGGATGGCCTTGACTGGGCATGTAGGTATGTGGCTTTCAAGGAGACTCCCTCTACTACCTAATCCAAGAACGACTACATATCTTAACCTGGACAGGAGATCCCCAAGAGCTTGCCGCCTGTGCAGGAAGAAGAAAGTTCGTTGTAATTCCCTCTACCTTTAGTCCAGCCAGATTGCTGTGCTCATGATACTGTGCTATTTGCAGGTGATGGAGCGCAACCGGCGTGTGCACAATGTGCCGCCCACCGGAGTCAATGTGTCTATTTGCCACGCGCGGTCCGAAATCCACAGTCGCGACCTCGTCGCTCTAAGCAATCCAGTCGAGGTGGCTGTTCGCGTAACAATGAAGGTGATCAAAGCCTGGCACCTTCAAGTGTTGTGGCAACTGCTGGGGACGGACTACTTCCAACCCCTTCACAAGCAACGGCACCGACATTAGGTATGTCGATATGCCTGTGAATTATGTCTTGGATTTAGAGGTTAATCTAAAGCCAACCAAGAACTTCCGGTTTCACTTGAGCCCTCGATACCATCAACCATGCATCATTCTATAGGGCCAGACACACAGCAAGCACGGTATCATGAGGGCGAGACGGCCACGTTGGATATTGCACTACACCTTGTAGGGAATGGCGATGCAGATATTCTGGGCCTCTCATTACAAAGGTTCACAGATTTTCCTGTGGACACCCCATTTTTGGACAATGCGTTCCATTCTTGTAATTTTCCACCTGATTTCATCGTTCAGGAAGGCTTGCATGATACGGTACCTACCAAAACACCCGATTACAACGATCCTATGAGTGATATTATGTTCCGGGCTTGCACAACGCTTGATAACGATAGCACCTCAATAGAACCGAGCCCAGAGAATACGTCATCAGTTTCTGAGCAACCAGTTGTTGGTGGATCTAATGACGTGTTCCTTGCCCATACTGCGCAATCGTCTCCAGAGCAATTCGGGAGTCAAAACACTAGCGGATGGCAGGAGGATATTGAAGAAGACGACTTAAGCCACCTTCTTCTACAATCGGCTTCCGGTTTTATAAACTATTTGGGCAAGTTCCACCTTTCCAACTTTGGGACCAGAGAATAACTAACTTAAATTTTGTAGGTCCGAACTTTATGGTGCGTTACAGTCTCGATTCTGTGGCTGCCAGCTGCTGAATCCGCCGCTAATTCGTCGTCTCAAGTCGATTCCTGGCACGGAGCTAGGTCGAAAATTTATAAGCGACGTGACTGGGTCGACGTACTTTTCAGATCATATAACAGCTTTCCTCGAGAATTGGTCTCCCAGTACTCCGAATATCAGTGAACATAGCACATACGATAAATCTCGTTTGCCATCTTACGAAGTTGCACAATCTTGGATCGACTGTAGGAATTATGGACTATGCTGAAGAACTTACTCAGAACATATGCTAACTGATGAGTAGCTTACCTCGATTCAGTCCAATGGTATTTAGAGAGCTCTTAATTGAGGCACTTACACTGATTAACATGGTAGTACTTATCCTATACTCGACAAGTCAAGCTTCATGGCCGAGTTCTATAGAACTTACGAATATCTTTCTCCGGAAACTGATCCTGTATGGTGCGCAGTGGTCAACACTATCCTTGCCACAGGCTACCGTGCTAATCCTAGCTCAAACGAGGACCAATATTGTAACCTTTTTACTAATGCTCTAGGTCTCTTTGATAGAGTCGCGCTATTGATGTGTTCACTCCGGAAAGTTCAAACTTTGATGCTCATGGTAGCAGATGACCATCTCACTATGTGTGGATATCCACTGACGCAAACAGTATCTTTTTGTCAGCTCTACTTGCTTACCACACTGGGGATATACAGTCCTAGCTTTGGCGGTCAAGGAGGCTCAAGCCATTGGACTCCGAACAAGCCCTTAGCCGGCAATTCGGAACAGGCAACGGGTAGATCGATGTAGGGTAAAGCGTTATGTTCAGACATTACTAGTATTCATTCAGATTATACCGGGAACTCGGGTACCGTACAGTGTCCTCTGTTAGTTCATTGAAACAGGTATAAATAAGCAATGTCTTCATGTTGAACAATCATATCAGGATCTCCGACAAAGATTCTTCGACTACACAATCTCCACTATCTGTATTGGACTATATTTTATCTTATTCCAATTATTACCTTCCCTTACTTATGGCGTTTCTTCGATCATGGCTGTGACCAAAGCCGCAAATGCTATCGATGGCTCAACCATACGCCCTTCAGAACTTGACGAGATACAAAAGCGATATAAAAGCGAACGCGAAAAGCGGCTTCTTACCGATGGCCGGGCACAATTCCTCGACCATGAGACAGTGGACAAGTTTGCCAAGGCTATCCATAATGCATGGCCAGATCCAGTGTACGACAACATGAAGCCTACCCTCAGAGATGGCTCACGATGTGAATTTCAGTTTTTTGGGGCCGGATACGGGTCTCTTACATCTGCAGTCCGGTTTCTGGATGCTGGAGTGGCTCCCGAGGATATCAGATTTGTTGATACGGCTGGAGGATTTGGCGGGACTTGGTGGCTGAACCGTTATCCCGGACTCATGTGCGACGTTGAGAGCTACATGTATATGCCGCTGGTCGAAGAGACAGGCTATATGCAGAAGTGCAAGTACTTGTACGGCCCCAAGCTGCGAGAACAAGCCGAAAGGGTCGTGAAAAAATGGGGACTTTTCGAGAATGGATTGTTCCGTGTCAAGGCTATGAGTATGACCTTTGATGACGACAAGGGAGAGTGGGTTACCAAACTCGAAAGTCCTAGAGCTGGAGAAGAGGGCAAGCAAACCACAGTCCGCTCCAGGTTTGCTTTTATAAATACTGGAGTACTGAACTGGCCCAAAATCCCTCGGGTACCCGGAGTCAACAGCTACAAGGGCCATGTGTTCCACACTTCCGTCTGGGATTACGAATATACGGGAGGCTCAGAGCGGGACCCGCGCCTGACGAATCTCCGAGACAAGAAAGTAGGCATCGTTGGTACTGGTGCTACAGCCATCCAGGTAGTACCTCATTTGGCAGAATGGGCGAAAGAGCTTTACGTTTTTCAGCGTACTGCATCTGCAGTAGACACCAGAGGGCAGCGTGAAACGGACCCGGAGTGGTGGAAAGAGTATGCTTCTAAGCCGGGATGGCAGAGAGAGAGGAGATTGAATCACGGCAAATTTAATCACAATGAGTATCCTCGACCGGCTGTTGATTTAGTTGATGACCAGTGGTCCACGGTTCCAAGCTACTCGGGGCTTATTGGCAGTCCCAATGCGCCCAAGTCGCCAGAAGAGATTCCACCATATCTGGAAAAGCTTCAAAAGATGGATCTCATCCTTCAGAAGCGAGTGCATGCCTGTGTCGACGAGATTATCAAGGAAAAAGCCACCGCCGAATCCCTAAAGGCATGGTACCCAGGTTGGTGCAAGCGCCCGTGCTTCCACGACGACTATCTTCCCAGTTTCAACCAGGAGAATGTGACTCTCGTGGATACGGATGGAAAAGGCATTGAAGGGCTCACCGAAAAGGGCATTGTCGCGCTCGGTAAAGAATACGATCTCGACGTCATCATATGGAGCACTGGCTATGAGATCTTTCTTCCAGACAGCCCAGGCAAAAAAGCACGTATTAACGTTACGGGTCGAAACGGCCGCAGTTTGGATGAAAAGTGGGATGAGAAGATTTCCACGTTATATGGCGTCCAGACCAATGGCTTCCCAACTTGTTTTGGCTGGGTCTGACCCAATCTGGGGCAACTTCAAACCAGAGCTTCTCGATAGATGAGTTGAGCCTGCTCATATTTCGTATCTTTAAGGCGAAGATCAAAAAGGCTCAAGGCGAGAAGCGCGCTCCATTGGACCCTTCCAACAAATATCCGTTTATCGTCGAGGCAACTGTTGATGCGGAAGAGGGTTGAGCTAAGGAAGTCGTGTCCCGTTCTGGTGCTCTAACGAGTCTCTCCCTCTGCCCTCTAGGTTATTTCAATGGCGAGGGAGAGTCACTTGCAGTTTTTCAGATGGATGAAGCAGCAAGACAGAAAGCCGCTCGTGGTTTAACCTGGGACACTGGGTTTGTTGACCGGCTCAAGACCATCGATAAGTGGACTGCGAAAGATCCTTTGTCTGGTATCCATTTCAAGTTTGCGAAGTCATGAGTTGGCAAATGTCTCAGTGGTTATATTGGCTTCTAGCACATAGTTTAGTTTCACATGATTGATTATATGAATTGCACATCACGGACTTTCTGATAGCATCAAATCACTACCTGTGTGAAGATCCCTGCCAACTCTTGCTCGCTTAATTAAGAGCGTATGAGACATTCTCTTGTCGGGGATTTCCTAGACTTGTACTATCAAAAGTGCAAATCTTCTAGATAAAGTGGCAATTTATTGTCGAAGTTTTTGTTAAAACACCATCGTAGGTCTATTGTACTACATATGACATGGATTTAGAGCTTTATTTATTCTTGCCTGCTTACAGACTTTAAATAGCTCGAAAAGATCTAAGATCATAAGAGCGGGCCATTGTTTCCAAAAATCTACTAAGCTTACTCTCTAGGTCTTGGTTACAAAATTCTATATCTCTGAGTCCGAACCTTAACGCCAGCTATGTACCAGAACTATAGAGAGTAACAAGCTAGCTTGGAAGTATCATTATAGGCCAATCATCCTTTCGGTTAGTTCTTGAGCGTTGTCTCGGTACACCCACATCCTCGGGGCGTTACCGCTTGTCAGACAAAAGGTCCGACGGAACAATGGCCTGATCTTACGTCGATGTTGCGATGACCCATGCGCGTATAGATGTCTCTCGCTGCAGTCTATTGGAGGAAAATCCAACCATAAAAAAAGACCTATCAAATCTGACAGCGGCATGATACGGAATCTTCCAAACGGCTGAGATCCAGTTAGATGTGGGGCGGAGAGAATATCGAGATGCAGTTCACTGGTAAGATAAGTACTTGAATAATCCCATTGAAGGCCGCTCAAAGAGTAAGGTTTTATTATTCCACGCTTCTGGAGTTGCTCCTTGTATCATGATGTTGCCATCTCTACTCCTCTGCCTCCTATTTGGCTTCTCCGTTGCTGGAGATTCTGTAACTTCCGAACATCCCGACGTTGATCTCTACTTCCACTCCGACGAGGTCGCTCATCACATCCGTAACCAAGACGGTGAGCATGCACTCCTACAAGCGACAATGAGGCGAATAGACGACCATTTCCGCGCCAACGAGACAATCCACGAGTTACTCACCCGCGATGTACAAAACAAGGAAATCAATGGTCGAGCCACAGTTTTCTATAAGCCAAATTTGAACGCTGTGTGTACGCAGAACGGGAAAGTACGGGCGCATCCCTACTCAATCCGGAATGTATGTGTCAGTGGAAGGCAATTCAGCGTAGACTGCGAAGCGGATGCCGAAGGCGACCATATCGTCACAGTACATGGTTACTGCCAGACCGACTACTTCTGCGTTACGGTGCTCAGAGACTCGCTTCATATCGTTGACCCAGACAATCTACAGTTCGGCCAAGCCGCGGAGCCAATCTGTCAAAAACGCTTGTATTTCCGACCCTTCCAGATCAAGAAAACAGCTGTAGAATTCATGACCGACTGGTGGACTGCGCCTGGCAAGTTCAAAGTCGCCTTTGGCCGCATGGCTGTCCTCGGTGACACGGCTGGTGTTTCGTACAAACTCAAATTCGAATGGAAGCATGTAAAGTCGACTTTGTGGAATGTTGCTGGAATTAAAAGTATCGAGTCGGAAAATAGCGGTGCAGACCACGAGTATGAATTGTCTTACAATTATAATGGCGCGGATGATTATCAGTTTCGAGCGGTTACTGAAGGGCTAGACGAGGTTGCTCCTAGCAAGAATCTCGTACTCAATGCTTATTTTGGAGCCGCATCTTAAAACGACGTCAATGTAGTTGGTTAGCAATGGAGCTTCATAACAAGATGACGAACATCATATGTTGCGATAAGTTATAAAGTATGTATAGAAAACTCGGTGGAAAAAAAGGTATGTATTCATTTGAGTTTCCATTACATGAAGTTTACTAGCATGGACCTTGTCATCAACAAATTTGCTCCCGGTGGGAGAATCATGAGAGCCCCTTTATTTCTTCAACGTTCGTAGCAAAGGAGCGATTCTTGCTCGTTTACTTAAGCCCACGCGGTACGGCACTTTGCCTTTGGTCATGGGCGAAGGAGTGACGGGTTTCGTTGACTTCTCTGGTGTCTCTGAAGTCGGAGCTGGGTTGAGTTTGATCGGAACAGTGGTTTGTTCTGTATCCTGAGAGATCACTGGTTCCACAGGTTGTGGCTTGTCTGGTGTGATGTCTGGGCTTGGATCAATCTTCTCAGTGACCGGGTTCTGTTCTATTGGTTGGAGAAGTTCACTAGGCTGCTCTTCTTTTGCTTCTTGTTCATGAGGTATGATGGGCTCGATGGCGTCAGAAGTGGTCGGTGTTTTCTTCGGACGACCTCGACCTCTCTTCTTCTCATTCACCGGCGCCGTTACAGGAACCAACGATGAGACTGATTCTGATTCCGTCTGGTCTAGCGTAATTTTCTTGCGCTTTGACTTCTTACTCGACACACTTATACCGTCTTCTGTTTGTGCAACGGCAGCTTTGGGCGATTTCTTTGGTATCACTACTTGCACTTTTGTCGGACTCATGTTCTGATCTGTTTCTGAGCGCTTATGCGGGTTTGTGGTTTCCGCGAAAGTATCGACTTCTATGAGATCCGTCGTAGAACTATCTGCATCCAGTCCTGTTGGCTGATCACGTTGTGCAGTGTCACAATCGTCCCGACGATACTCATCCAGATTGCGCATGATACTTTGTACAGTCCGTACGTCGACTACCTCAGGCTCGTCTTCTTCTCTTTGTTTCGGCATCGGCTTAGGTGGACTTTGTGGCGCCAGCTCGTCATGGCCGATATTGTTAGTAACTAGCCAATCGACAGTCTGGATGACGTCACCGTTGTTACGTCTCAAGGCCCCGGCAGTCGTCGAAGGCGTGAAGCCCATATCGCATATTTGCCGTACTTTCTCGGGTGTCGTGATTGCGTTGGCAGCGCGCATGTCAGCTGTTGTTCTTCGACGTTTGCTGAGCTTAGGAGCTTTCTCAGGTCGGATGGAGTAGTCAATTGGCTCTTCAGTGTCGACCTTGAGTGACCTTGAGCGACTGGGCCTTGGCTTGTATCGCTCCTCGGGGAGTCCGATTGCGGACAATTCGTCATCAGAGCTTGGATGCAGCTGGTTTTTGTGTTGGCGGGGAGATGTCTTTGCTTTCGCTTGACCATCGGTATGAGATTCTAGTCGTGGATTCGGCGTTTTCACGGTTACTAGCGGAGAGCTCGTCTTGGAGACAACCTGTTCATCATCTGCGGTATGTTCCTCAAAACTAGAACGGTCGTTCTTCGATACACTTTGATTCTGCTGAGATGACGATGCACATTTGCTCTGCTGCGTCGCCGGCCAACCAGGACTTTTCTGCATAGCCACAACAGGCGTACTCAATGACGCGTGAGGTAGTGGTTCACGATACGGAGATTCAGTCTGCTCAGATTCCTCTGCAGGCGTGAATCTCATCAGATCTGACCAAGGTACTGACGGTTCAGGCGGAAGATGATGGCGAAGCTCCCCAGTTTCGGACTCCTGTCCTAGCATTACTGGGCCGTTGACAGCTTCCAAGACACGCTGTTGCGTCATGGTGGCGTTTGGGATGGTACTTGATGGTTCACCAAACATGACGGGCTCATGGCCAGCATAATCGTTTCGCATAGTACCTTCCAATTGCCAGACGGCTTCTTGGAAATTCGCAGGTTCATGACCGTTTACAAGTTGGCCGGGAGATTCCGTCTTCCTTCTCTTGTTTGGATGCTCTGGCAAGGAGACCGAAGACAGTGGTTCATCTTGGCTGAGCAAGGGCTGTAGATGGATGGGCAATGATTCTTTACTAGTACCATGAAGTGAATCTACAAGAATGGTTAATGTCGTCACGGGATATGGTTGCAGACGCATATGGACCCTACCAATGGCACCCGTGCTTTCCGCGTGAAGATTACCGGGTCGCTGACCGGAGGCGTCTGGCGGCTGCGATGGTGGCAGGTCAGCCTCGAGGTCTTCATCTAGCTCATCGTCTGAATCCTGGACTATGCGTGCCATTTTGGATCATTTCCCGGGTTTTGCAGCAAATGAGATTAACGGTCAGGTGGAGTCGTGTTCGCGTCGCCGCGTCGGGCACGCGCTATCACGAGTGCGGCCAACAGGCGCTAGTGGCGGTGGGAACTTGCTGCTTTGGGCGGGCGCCATCAACTTTATGGTAGCCACGACTGGGCTTGACTTTCCCACCACCATTGTTCTCCACTCATGGATAGATTCGCCTCTAGCTCAGGCGATGCCAGCGATGCCGCGAATAACTCGCGTTTCACTTCGCAGGCTGCCACGGCAGAAGACCTCCTCAAGGCGCAAACCGTTGGTCTTGTGAACCTGAATGATTACCGCAAGCGACGCGCCGAGGCCTTGGACAGAAAAGAACGAGGTGATACAGGGCTTGACTCTGGTGCCAGTACACCGATAGATGGGTAAGGGGGACATTTGCTATCTAGTCACGGAAACTTGGCTAATTTACAAAGTACAGGGCATCGACACCAAAGCCGGTCTTCAAGAAAAAGCGCAAGATAGCCACCAAGGGCAAACTGTCGTTTGGCGCAGAGGAAGAGGATGACACCGACTCTACTGTGTCTAAAACGGCCAGTCCGCGCCAAAGCACCCCCACCGATGCGACGGGTGTGAAATCCGAAGCAGAAAGCAGTGTGGTGGTGAAGAAGAAGCTGGGCGCAAACTCAAACATTGGACTAAAGCCTCGCGTCATGACGAAGACAGCTCTCCAGCGCGAGGCACAGCAGGCAGAGCTTGCACGGCGGGATTTTGTTATAATGCGCGATGCGGTTAAGGCCACCGAAGTGGTGATTCCATTTGTCTTCTACGACGGCACCAACATACCAGGCGGGCGATGCAGGCTGAAGAAGGGGGAGCAGATCTGGCTGTTCTTGGACAAGGCGAGGAAGGTGGGAGCAGAGCTGGGCGTGGGTGGAGACAAGAGCCGGAGGGACTGGGCCAGAGTCAGTGTAGACGACCTGATGCTGGTAAGGGGAGAGGTCATTATACCACACGTAAGTTGGACACGTGCCTGTGCTCGTATTCCGTTACTGACACTAGAGGCAGCATTACGAAATCTACCACTTCCTGTTCAACCGGGTTGCCGGCCTTGACGGACCCCTCTTTGACTACTCGGCACAGCCCACCAAGGCCACTCCCAGAGCGACGACGGAGGCCGACGAAGAGGCCGACGTCGATCCGGCCACGTATGACCCACTGATGCAGTCTGGCAAGAAGAAGAGCAAAGAGTCGAGCATAGCAGACGAGGAGCTCGAGGGGTTTGGGGATGATGCGACGCTGACCAAGGTGGTTGATAGACGGTGGTACGAGCGCAATAAACACATCTTTCCTGCGAGCGCGTGGACAGAGTATGCGCCGGATAAGGACCTGTCCAAGATGCAGCGCAAGGATGCACAGGGGAACGCCTTCTTCTTCTCGTGAGACGGGACGAGGCGACTAGAGTGGTGGTGTCCACATGACTGGGTACGGACTTGAGCACGGATACAGATGCAGATGGGGATGCGGATGCGAGGGAGCAAGTAGTAGTGAGTAGTTGGTAGGACATGGGAGGGAAAAGAAGGGTCCAGTGGCCCAGGCACACTATGCAGTCGTGGGCCGCTGCTAAACGACTCGGAAAAGGGTCCGCGTGCATGACTTGCGGGCCAATTGCGGGGAGGCCATGCAAAAACCATCAATCCAACGCCCGTCGTCTCCACCACGCTGTATCGTCGTGAAGCCATGTGATTCAGGCTCGAGCTTCCCTTGCCACCATCTGCGACGCATCTGCCATGCATACCGCTTCAAAGAGGCCATGGCGTTCTTACTTGCTTTTGCTCACGTCCGCCCACACACACAAAGGGAGCGTGATCTGCTCTTTGACCAGACGATAAACCCAATCAAGCCCACCCCAAAGCATCTAGATCCGCCAGCCCCCTGGCGCCATGGTCAAGCCCGTGGCCGCTTAACATGCCTTTGACGAGCTGACAAACATACACCGCCGTGATCCGCCGACGCAGCAGCATGCACGCCAGGCGTTGGTGCGCTGATGCAATGCATGGATGCACTATGATGCGGCAGCTGTAGGGGGGGGACCCAGTTTCCAGCAGCAAACAGAAGCCTGGGAGAAGAGTATAAATTCATCAATGGCCCTGCGGCTACTTGCGGCGCGCGAGGAAAAAGCTTAGAACAGAGCGAAACCATCTCAACTCCACCCTCACACGTCATCGCAGACCCTGACGGCGCACGAACCACTCCCTCGACCAGCTCCGGCTCAGCCATATTCTTTTGCTTGCGCATACACATACTACACCTACAACAGCTTCCTTTTCGCACTTCGACAACACTGCCCAGCGATTCTGCCGCTACAGTGTACTTTCCCTTGCCCTCGAGCTGCGGCTTTCCCTTTCGTTTTGACAGTCCGTTTAACCATGCTGCAGGCGCGATTTGATCGGGCCCCGTCTCCTCCAATGAGAATGGTCCCCTCGAGCACACCCTAAAGAGTCCATCATTAACGCGTTGACTGCGCCGGTCGCATGCTATCCGCCCTTTGTTATCTGTCTTACCCGTCATTCCATTGCTGCCACTATAATTCTTAGCCTTTGCTGCCCCTCCTGGTGCGCGGTCAATTCGCAACAGCTTGTAGAGCTGTCCTCAGTCCTCAGCGTTGGCCTTTGTTTGGCAACGCTTACTTGCTGACCATCACTCGAGTGCCAAAATGAAGTTTGGACATAATCTGCCTAGGAACCAGGTTCCAGAATGGGCGTCCTCGTACATCAACTACAAAGGCCTCAAGAAGCTGATCAAGAATGCCGCTGAAGCCTCGAAAAATGGCTCGGATCCAGATCTCACAGGTCAGTTTGAATGCTCATGAACCTTTATTCTATTTTTTTTGCGTACTGCTTTTTCAAGTGCTTCAGCAACTCCCAGTCGTCTATTCGGAGAACATCATACAACGCTCGCAGGGATTGGATAACTAACAGCAATCTACAGAGTTCTTCTTCTCTCTTGATCGCAACCTCGAAGATGTCGACAACTTCTACAACCGAAAGTACGCAGAGTTTTCCCGGCGACTTAGGATCCTGCATGGCCGTTATGGTCGTGCCGCCCAGTTGCCCGAAGGCATCGATAAAGACGAGGCACAAGACCTCATGGGCGCACTGCTTGAGCTACGAGGCTCAATGCGAAAGCTTCAGTGGTACGGAGAGGTCAATCGGAGGGGTTTCAACAAAATCACCAAGAAGCTGGACAAGAAGATCAAGACAGTGCGTTTGCAAGAGCCATACCTGGCCTCCAAAGTCAACCCAAAGCCGTTTGCGCACAATCTGCCCCTCAACCAGGACATGAAGGCTGTCAATGAATGGCTGTCAGGACTGGGTGATATCAAGACTTTTGATGATACAGGCTCTACACATTCTGCGGGCTCCCTAGGTCGAGTGCCAGGCCGTTCGCTACACCTGCCATCCGGCCTACTCGATGCGGCAGACTTGGCTATCCGCAACGACAAAGCGGAAGACCTCGGCCAACAGATTGCCGAAGCTGCTGCGAACAACGGCATCACCAGTTCTTCAATGCAGCAGGTTCTGCTGAACTTCCTTCAGCGCTCCATCTCATGCCGTTCCAAACAATGCATCAAGAGATTGTTGCAGGATATCATCTCGTTGGATGAAGATGACGATATCAACAAACGCAATTGTGTCCACCGACTAGTCATCAACATTGGCCGTTCAAAGAGCGGCGAAACATTTGGCGCCGACGGAACTCGGCAACCAAGTTCAAATGAAGCAGGAAACTTCATAGTGCCTGCTACTGACCCTAACCGGCAACCTCGTCCTTGTACGACTACTGAAGAAGAGTCAACCCAACTGCTTAGCGAGAACGACGAGTCTGTGCGCCTACTCATCTATCTGCTTGACGAGCTGCGTGATGAGCAACGCAATGCACTTCAAGCTCGTGATTCCTATGGAAGGCTTCCGCTTCATTATGCCGCTCAATATGGCTTCGTAGTCATTTGTCAGGTTGTCATAAAACACATGCAGGACTGGGGCCAGTTCGACGTTGCACAAGGCATAGACTCTCCCGATTGGCAGGACACTGACGGCAATGCGCCTCTGCATCTCAGTGTCATGGGTGGGCATGTCCTCACCACCAAAACCCTTCTTGAGGCAGAGAATTGGCGGGGAACACATGAACAAAGACGTGCGTCGAGGAAGTCTAGTGCTCGCTCAGGAGCAGTTCTGTCTTTAGCGACTCGATCAAATTTTGTTGGTATTGTCAAGCTCCTGGTTGAAGCCGACATCGATGTCAACTACCAGGACGAGGGCGGTGAGACTGCCCTGCACATGGCAGCGCGCTACGGCTATGACGAATGTGCCAAAGTTTTGCTTGAGGGCTCTAACACGAACAAAGCCGACGTTGATGTTCCCGAAAAGACGTTTGCCTGGACGCCATTGTTCATTGCCTGTGTCGATGATCATCTCTCAATAGTCGAGATTCTAGCCGCTGCTGGAGCTGATCTACACAGATGCGATAATTCCGGTTGGACAGCGAAAGAGCACGCTGCACTTCGTGGCCATATGCAAGTTGCAGAACGGCTGTGCGAGCTTGCTCCCACGACAGTCTCGCCTCGTGTGGCACCCACAGATGCACGGATTTCTCGGGCTGGTTCACCCCCTCAGAATTCGCTTGACGAGAGAAGGTCAAAGAACCTGAATCGAGACACTAATAGTCCTGTGCAGAAAGTCCCTGAGCCAGTGAAAACATTTGGTCATCGTTATCTGACGAATGAAACAATGGTGCTGGTCAGCCTTGGTTCGATGGATGTTCGCAAAGACACACCGGCGGTCAAGCTTGACGATATTCCACTTGCGGATGCGCATGCGACACAACTCGACACTGCTTTGTCTGTGGTTGTGCAAGCATCTGGAGCCAAAGGAGAACCCACAGTGATTGATTTGCCCATCCAGGATAATATCGCTACAGAGCCCATTACATTTATGACCAGTGATGTCACCAAGGTCAAACTCTTGTTCGACATTGTCCCAACCTATGCCGGAACACATGAACGCTCGATGGGGCGGGCTGTGGCTTTACTGTCCACGATCAAAACCAGCATTGGATCGAAGCGAATTCCCCTCCAAGGAGATATGAAGGTACCTATTGTGGCAGCCTCGACATTGGACGTTATTGGAACAGTCAACTTCAACTTTCTCATCATCACACCCTTCCATCATCCAAACATGTCGATCACAGAGCAGCACACCTACTGGAAGAAGATGGCTTCATCGACCATGGTCATTGGCCATCGTGGTCTGGGCAAGAACACGGCATCTCGTACATCACTTCAACTCGGCGAGAACACCATTCAATCCTTCATTTCAGCTGCTAATCTGGGCGCGGAGTATGTTGAGTTTGATGTCCAACTTACAAAGGACCACGTGCCGGTCATCTACCATGACTTCCTTGTCAGCGAGACAGGTATTGACGCGCCTGTACATACCCTTACTCTAGACCAGTTCCTCCACATTGGCGAAGGCTCGAATCCTCGATACGCTCGCACTGGGTCCCCGGATAGAACTTCTCATCTCAACGGTGCTGAAGAGGACCGCCCCAATGTGAGAAGGCCAAGATCGTACTCGGTTGATAACTCGAAGCAACGCAATATCCACACCGACCGCGCTGAGGAGCTGACGGAGCGAATGAAGCATACCCGTGATTTCAAGAAGAAAGGATTTAAGGGAAATAGCCGCGGATATTCCATCCAGTCATCGTTTACGACTCTGGAACGAATGTTTGATGAAGTACCACAGTCCGTTGGATTCAATGTCGAGATGAAGTATCCCATGCTCCACGAGTCGGAAGAGGAGGAAATGGACCAATATGCGGTGGAGCTGAACTCTTTTGTCGACACAATCCTGGAAAAGGTCTATGATAAAATGGGGGAACGCAACATTATCTTCTCATCCTTCAACCCAGACATCTGCCTCATGCTATCCTTTAAGCAACCCTCAATTCCTGTTCTGTTCCTCACAGATGCCGGAACATCACCAGTAGGAGATGTGCGAGCTGCAAGTTTGCAAGAGGCGATTCGCTTTGCAAGTCGTTGGAACTTGCTCGGGGTAGTCAGCGCCGCTACACCGCTCGTCATGTGCCCTAGACTTGTCAAAGTAGTCAAGGAAAGTGGTCTTGTCTGCGTGAGCTATGGAATGCTCAACAACGACCCCAAGAATGTTTTGGTAAGTAAACACATTGACAGTTTTCGGGTTACACACATTAACGTGAAATAGTTGCAACGAAACGAAGGTATCGACGCCGTCATCGTCGACAGCGTCCTCCGAGTCCGCCAGGGACTCCAGGCTCCTAATCAGGAGAATACGGATGTCATTGAAAACGACGCAACATCTTTGGCTGTACCGCCGTCGGAGTCTGTTCCTTCTATCAAAGAAGCCAGCGAGGCACAGGAGAACAGGGCGAATGGTACCACTACCTGCACAAACGGAGTTGATGGAACTCACGCTGTCAATGGCACAGCGCATGAGCAAAAAGTGGCATAGGATCGTTTTTTTTATTCCTAAATTTATCGTACCAAGGGCGGCTAGCGTTGGATTCTTTTTAGTATTTCAATGTACGGATGAGCAGCGTAGTCCCTTCAACACAAAGGACCTCACGTATGCATGATTTTCCATAGTTGGTTCCCTCTACATAGATCAAGCCCGATCTAATTCCATTCTCCCTCCCTGTTGGGTAGTCTCACGTTTAACAAACTTCCTTCCTCTCTCTCTCTCTCTATTTCCATTCACACGCGAATCCGAGTATCCTCTGATTTCGCATCTCAAATCAAATATCCGTATTGTAACATTTGCATGTAGGACTCATACTCTATCGCTCTCAAAGGGGAAATTTCTCATCTCCAGCACCATCATCATTATCCATTCATTCAAACATACATACATACATACATTACCGCTTAGCCCAAATTTCCTCAATTGGATAAGCGAAAAATTCCCCGGTTTACACATGCACCCCTCGCTATGGCAACCTACACAAGAAAAAAGCATGATTACAATCTAAAGCCTACCCAGGCCAACCCTGGCGCCAAACTCGCCGCGATTAAACTTTTTCAAATCACATCCTGCCTGGCGGAACCTCTTGATTTCCCATTTAGATTTTGCTTCGAACTCTGGGCTTGCAATGCGTTTCTTGGCGTCGGGATCGTTGTTGTGCAGTGCAAAGGTGTCGTGCCATGAGAGGGAGAAATCGCGGAGGAGGAGGGTGGCTGTGCTGTCGTCGTCGTCGTCGTTGCTGGTTGACGGGTCTACTGCCGGTCGTGGTGGTGGTAACGTACTAGCAAAAGCGAGGGGAGGAGCGGCCAAGTCGAAGGAGCGTGTTACGGGGCGTGAAGATGATTTTGAGGGTGCGGTGGTGATGAAGGGGTCGGAATCGTCAATGGGGCCTTTGGCTTTTCCTTTGTCTTTGGAGATGGGGGCTTTGGTTTGGGCGGCGAAGATGCGCTTCGGGGGTGTGTCGAGTTGCATGGTGTCTTCGAGGCCTTTGATGCCGAAGATGTTGGGTTCCTGGCGGCCGGGCACTTTGCTGGTCTTGACGGGGCCGGGTATCCAGTCGCTTTCTGGGTCGCTGTCTGCATCGTGAGTTGCGGCCCTGCGTCGCCTGTTCTCTTCGTCCTCGGATGGTCGCCGTTGTAACCTGGGTCCAGCCGGTGTGATCTTGACTCGTTCCTTTTCTTTTCCTTTTGAGTGAGGTTTTGCTGTAGGCTGGGGCTGGAGCTCAGACTGCGACTCAGGCTCAGTCGCCTGCTCTTCGCCTCGCATTTGGGCTTCTCTGACTTCCTTGGCGATACTGCTGGGGATGGCGGCATGAATCTCAGTCATGAGCTTTGCTCGCCTACAGTATCCGTCCCAGTCCTCGACGGCTAGTTTGCCCGCCGCTTCGTTCAATGCACTGGCCGGGTTGGGCTGGATGAGGAGACATGATATCGTCACCAGTACGTCTCGGAGTTTGAGCGTGCTGCTCCAGTCACGCTTCAGCGTCTCCACACAGACGGCACCAGTCGCCTCGTCGATGTTGGGGTGCCATAGTCGGGTCCTGAATTGTGCCGTGGGCGGGGCGGCAGGATAGGTGGGTGGGATGTCGAGGTGCAATCGCCATACACCGCCTGCGTAGGGGGTGCCAACGGGGCCAGCGAGGAGGACGTCGAGGGACGTGAGGTCTGCAGCGTCGTCTGATTCGGGTGCAAACAGGTAATTAGGCGGGAGGCCAGCCGTATGCAGAGAGCCGTGGTCGGCGGCGAGACGACGCAGGGACTTTGAGTTCTGCGTAGTAATGTCAATGGGTGTAAACGCGTCTTGACTGTATGTAGGATTCTGACCATGGCGGCGAGCACTGGTTCAACGACGCGGCATGTATGCACGTGTGCTTCGAGATGAACAGGCAAGACTATCAACGTCTATCGTACATGAACCACACGGCGCTGGCGCTCTAGCAACCGGTGTCAGCTTTGTGCAGTTGCGGCGCATACGAGTCGCGACGCCCCGCATTCCTTTGTACTAGCGCGCGACTTTGGTGTTCTCTCCTTTCCATTCACTACAAAGAGCACTACGCAAAGAAACGACGTCATTAAATGGACATGGCACAATTTCACACACGGCCTTTGCCTCATGCAGCCAAATCATTTCAATCATGTGCTGCTGTACACTATCTTCATGTCCCTGTTGCCTACCAGAAACACACCTTTTCCTGTGGCTGTGGCTGTGGCATTAACCCATATATTCGCAATCCCCTCCTATGAACGCCGCGCTGAAACCTCGCAAACCCACGCACCTGCTACTACAAGATATCCATGTCCTCGCTCGGGTCCACAAACGGGAACTGCCCACTCTCAATCGCCGCAACACGGTCAAGCTCAGCCTGGTACTCCTTCCTGAGCGTATCCAGCGTGATAATCTGCCTCTTAAGCAACTTCTTGCCCTGGCCAATACCCCATTGCGGCGGGCCCCCGGTTCCTTCAATGCGTTGCTCGGCCAGGATGTATGCATCTTCTTTGCTGACCGACGACAGTGTGTTGATAATCATGAGGTAGCATTGTGCTAGCGATTCATCCGCTGGGTCATGCACCTTTGACGAAGTCGTCTTCAGTCGTTGTAGTCGCTCATGAAGGATTGATGCCGCGCCCCGGAAGTTGTTTCGCGAGATGCGGAAAGAATACAGAATCTGATGGTAGGGAGGCCCTGAAGCGATGTTGAGCGTCTTCTGGCAAAGTGACGTCAGAATGTTGTCCACAGTATCTGCCAGTCCCACAAATGGAAACTTTAGTAGTTCCGTAGTGCGTGACTGGGCAACCATAGTCGTGATCAGAGTCTGTAGGTCGGATTGTTTCCTACGCTAGCATTAGTCCTTGTTCACATGGCGTGTCCATGTATCAACTTACAAAGCTGCATCACTATGTCTGATCATGGCTGTGTATGCGTCTTGAAACCTACACGTCTGTATGGATGCGGTGAATAGCCGCTGAAGGAGCTCAGTCTTGAGCCCCTCATCCTCTTGGCCCAGCAACGACCGGAGGCCAAGTTTGGCAAAGTCCGCAACGTACGAATACGCCTTGGCCCTCTCAAACAGACCAACAACGTGATTGTAGTAATGGCCGAGACCTTCGGAGAACGAATTTCGCTCTACTTCAGACACCAGGCCCATTGTGTCTTGTTCCGCCACATCGAACATGGCACCGAGAGCTGCAAGAGTTAGCATCATTCCAGTATGGCTCCATTTGACTCTTACCCAAAGTGTACGCAGGCTTCTGGAAGCACATTGATGCAGTCGCATTGTCTCCCAAGGCAATGTACAGCCGACCTCTCATGTAAGACGCCCAATAACCTTCGATAAGGAACTTGGAAAAGTCCATGGCGAGTTCATACTCTCTTTGTGCCAGTAGAATGCCCATGATATCTTCTACCACGGCCTCGTACTCGTGCTCCTCGAAGATCGATGTGAGCCAACCCCGGCTCCATTTCGTAAGTAAATCAGCCTTCAGGTCCTTCGGTAACGGTACTTCGAACGCACGTCCACCATAAGCGCCTTCGAGAACTGTTTGCGTGATAGGCAGCTTCTTACCCACCTTCAGCGTCTCGCTCAGTGCCCGGTTTACGTTTTCTGATGCTAGCCCCGTTGCGCTCTGGTGAGCCCAAACCGTACCAGCTAGCCATGATACCACCAAGCAATCCTTGTAACGGAGAATCAGCTCGGCAAAGACCTCTGGCGCATCAAAGTCCTCAAGACTTTCTCCTTCTAGCTCAATGAACATGAAAAGCAGGAGAACAAGCAGGTCCAACAAGACATCTCGATCACCTTCTAGGGTTTCTTGAGAAACTCTCGTCAAGGCGCTCAATCCATACCGTGCAATCTGCTTCCTTGGCTGGGGCTTGCCGTCTTCCTCATAACCTAGTATCTTGATGGCTCGGAGGAATGTCTCAGTACCGAGATCCTTGACCTCCATACCCAGTTCTTCGACAAGCATGGTGACATCTTCGTCAGATACTTGCTGTGAAAGTTCACTGTTGGCTTCGATCCATTCCATCCGATCAAGGATGGTAATGTTGCGGCTCTGAAGTATGTCCATCTCCAAATGTCTTCGCACCTCGTGCTGAACAAACGACGGCAGCCGCTGTCTAAAGGATGCCGCCGCATTCAGTAGCCGCGCAACGTCCCGTGACTCAGAAGTGTCCAACGTCTTGCGGAGTGGTTTGCTCAGCGTGCGTGAGCTAGAGATGACGCTGGCGTTTAGCTTGGTGATCTCAGATTCGCTACAAGTTCGTATCGCACACACGTAGTCACTTAGGACAAGCCATGGCCTACCCGAATCCCGGTCATACACAAGTGAAAGAGATTCTCCTCTACGCTTGTGCAGATCCTTTACAAGGCTGTAGTACGCTTGCCATTGCACAGCTACAGCATCCTCAATTTCGTCCGACTCACGGCTTCCGTTCACAGCGAGAGCAGTGACGGCAGCGCACAGGCGTTCTTTGAGCGAGCCTCTACTGGATGATCGACCTGGCCGACCTTGTTCGAGCCCTCTTTTGTAAATATACAACGAAGTTTCCAGTGTTGCGGTGGTAAATCTGCCCGGGTAGAATAGAAAGTCGAGCCACTTCTCAGTGGAGTCAAGATCATCATGATCAATGACATCGTCCCGCTCACTCGGGTTGGCAGGGTGAGCCCTCAATGCATCGACAGTCAAGGGACCGGATTCCACACAAACCCAATCGTTCTTCCAGGCCTGGGTTCGTGCTTCTGGCGTATCGGTGAGATCGAACTTCAAAGAATAAATTTTGCTGCTCGGTCCAGATCTTGCGCGGATCCAAATTTCTGAGCCTCTCCATCCAGTGGGTCCGGGGACAATGTGAAATTCTTCCAGCGTCCAAACAGTCGTCTTCATGAGCTCGTCGATCGGGGGAATGAAATCCGAGTCCTCGGCAGCATCGTAGAAACCCAACTCTGCGTCATCTGCGTCTCTGACGCCCCAAAACTTGAACTGGTGCTGCTT